GTTAGCATTCTTATGCTACACAGGAGAGTGCTAAGCGAAGGGATTATCAATTCTACCTAGCATTATTACTGTGATGATAAGCTTTCTTATGAGATGATGTTCTGATATACCCAGGGAGGGAAAGAAAATGTCCAACCGTTTCAAAAGATAATAGATGGGGGAACAAAGCAAGAAAAGACAAGGAAGCAACTAAAACCGGGCACGGGGTTTGATATGCAGAGAGCATTGTCACCCAGTCCTAGATCACTTACCAAGATATAGTGAAACTCATCAATTGCCGCATATATTACATTCTATACTGACGAACGACGATCTGTTAGCTTCACAGGGGATATACATATCTCTAGGTACCTGGTATAGGTACTAGGACGGCAGTCTAGAACTAGAACACCCACCAATTGGTGCCACCGACTTAGACCCAGACCTCAATCAACGCACCGTGATTCGAATAAGTCCGAGCACGTCCCAACAAGCGAAATGCAACAAGTGAAATTGTCAGTCTTAAATCTAGCGCAATGAGGATACCCTTGGACACCAGCTATCAAGTCAACCATCGCCTGACTTTCACTGGGCGGTGATTGCTCCCTCGTGACCTGCGCCAACTGGCGGTCAAGTAGTCGTTCTGTGTATTTCTGAAATGATAGATTCCAAAAGCTAGATAGAATCAAAGGCAACAGCATGATAAAGTACGAGCAAGGATAACACATCCGGGTGATCGATCCACCCACTGCTCTTCAATACGATCTACCCCACCCCACTGCCCCGGTACTTTAGATATGTCCTGATAGGGCCAAGCATCGCATATCCCTGCATCCCGATGGGTCTGATAACAGCTCGATAAAGCGATAAGCGATCAGTCAGAATGCGAAGGATCAGGGGGAAGCACAGCCCAGCAAGAATCCGATTCTGCTGTCTGACCCACAAACTATGCAAGATAGTCTAGATCCCAACCGTCCGGAAAGATGGCGTCCCCACCTGAAGAAATGATGTAGAGTCGTCAACGTCCGACTGGATCAATGGGGCAAATAGTGGCGTAGGAGTTGACGAAAAGCCTCCTGATTGAGACATGGCAGATGGTCAAGACAGAGGATGGAACAAATCCGGTATCCTCCCGAGTGAATATATTCTTCTTCTCCTTTTCCGCATCCTCTTGATGGCGTGATGGAGGATCTAGGAAATACTGGAATGGCCCCAAGATCCTTGGGAGGGATTATCCAGTGAAGACCTCATCGGACGCGCAGGGTACGGCTTGTTTCTCGGCTTTTACCGAAACAACCTAATCCGTATCAGGTTACTCTAAACATAAGTGACTGAGCCTAGGTACTCAGGGCTCAGTGCATACTACTCCGTACCTAGAGACATATACGTACTGCCTACCCACTACCTAGTGGCGTAGCTGTCTTGCAGCATTCCATGTATGTGATGTACTGCAAAAGCTCTAGATCTCCCTATTAGTCCCAGGAAATGAACCGCCTGCATTTCAACAAGCGGGTGACGGACCGTTTGTCAAGCTCTGAGTACATATATAACGGTCATACTTGGATGTATCAATCTAAGGTTTCATAGGAAAAGTCATGACTGGTTGAAAACGGGAAGAAAGCGACAGGTGTTATAGAAAGATAGCAGCGTTGGCGTTGGCGTTGGTAAGTCTCTGCGGTTTACTTGCCTCAAACTAGTCACTTTTGTCGTGTTTCACAGTGGAGGGAGATTGATCTTTCTCGTATTCTCCTATTATTCGCAGTGTCGCAAGCAAACCCATACCTCGTCTGTAGTAATACAACTACATGGTAAAACCGCATCAACCCTTGAGTCACTCGAAGAGAAGCTTGAGACTTGGATCATGAACGGTTTCTGAGAACCCGCATTCAAAGTCCGACATTTCATCATCTTTGGTCAGAATTAGCCTGGCTGAGCTAGCTTTGCGCATCCTCTCCCTGAACGAGTAAACCATTTTGTGATATCAAGTAACTAGATTATTTGCTATCCTTATCTATCTACTTGACCCAGTCTGTTGCCTTGATCAGCTAGGTCAGTAGTTCTCAACTAAGGGCATGCCATAACGACAGGTTCATGGCTCGATCCCTAAGAATCCAAGTATATCCATAGCTTGCTCTATAAGTGCAAGTAGATATGATATTCCATATACTAATATCTGGTAAGTGGTAAATACACTGCCCCCACATAGCGGGCAAATAAAACACCTCTAGAAGCTCTTATCTTCTACAGCTCTAATGGATCTGCGGCCATATTTCTCAAAAAGACCTATTGATTTCGTCTAGTATATCCTAGAACTGATCCATCTGATCTGATTGGTAGGTGCCTCTCTGACATTGGCAACCAACAGTATAAAAACCACTCTGATCTAGTTTGTGATGTATCTTATAACGGTCATTTGTAGAGATGTGATATCCTAGTGGGGATGCGTACTTTGGCTCTGACTAGTATATTTTATGGAAGTTCGGTGTTGGACTCGCGGTATACGTACTCTTCGGAGCGCGAGTATAGTAATATCACAGATAAGTGCAGCTTTGAGAATAGTAGCCTCCGTGGTATACCGGGCAGATGATCCTAGTATTTCTGAGCTAGTACTGCACAAAGGACGATTGCAGAGCGTGAGATCCAATAAGTATGGAAGCGCAGGGTTGGAAATACATAGCACAATATTATGCAGAAATCAAGAGACGAATGCTACAAGGGGTCTCTATGATTTACTGCTGAGCTGAAGTATATGTCAGGGAATCTCCATCCTCCGGAGGGAGATTGTCATTGACATTTACCCGTAGAACTGTACTGTACTACCTAGTGTAGCTCCTTTTTAGCCATGGAGCAGAGGGCCAAGGACGGTTTCAGCCGTAATTTAGAGATCAGATTTCACAGGACCTAAAGCTGGCTGCTTCCTGCCGAAGGGGTAAACGGGACCATGTGATACTGATTAATTTATATCATAAACAAACAAACAAAGAATAAGAAAGAAAGAGATATATAGGGGGATCACAAATCAAACATAAAACGAGGAAAATAATAAAATAAATCAAGAAAAGAAAAGAAAAGAATGACCGGATATTAATGACGGACATCCGGGGAGTCTACTGAGTCTAGCCACTGTAGCCACTGATCCCCGACAGTCTGGTTAGCCCCGGAGGATCGCCCCATACAGCAATGCCGAGGATCAAAGGGGAGAATAAACAAATAGATAAAAAAATACAACAACATAAATAAATAAATCAGACAAAATTGAAACTCAAAGGAAGGTTAAAATGGAGTCAGTTCAAGTAAGTCAAGAAGAATAAAATATCAGTCAAGAGAATAAATAGATAAACAAGACCCCGGAATTGCGGGTGGCACCCCTGTAGAACTGAAAACAGCCACACCAGCCATCCTCCCTCCTGGATATTGATTAGATTGTTGAGGCCGGTATTGAGAGGTAAATAAGTAAGGCATTATTTAATACCCTCCTGGGGTACTTTTGTCCGATCCAACAGATGATCAAAGGTCCTTGAATACTCCGACAGGTTGAGTTCTTGATTCTTGATCCATCCAGATACCAAGAACCAGATGATTTCAGTTCCTGGGAATCCAAAATATTCTGAATATCTCCCTATCAACCTATCCAACCTAGGGACCTGAATGATACGTACAACCCCTTCTCTCCTCTCCCCTTGACGGATTCCCTGCCCTTTCCGCCTCCCCCCACAATCCGAACCCCATAAACACGTACGTTTCCCCATAATATCCATGATTCATTGATCATTCCACAACGCCCCGTTCCTTTAGCCCCCTCCCTATCCCCGAATTGATGGATCCCTTCGGTTCTTCGCCGGTTCTTCGCCTCTCCCCCCCCACCGGGACTTACTTCCCCAGTTCCCGCACTTCCGTTCCGTCGTCGTGGCAAGCATGCAACACAAACCCACACTAGTCGGTGCACACTCCGCCTCGTCCTGGATACCCGACAAAGTGCTGAAGTGAGGAGACGGAGCGAGGCGTTGGAGTTAGGGATTTTAGTCAAGGAGACGATCGCTCCTCCTGGGAACTATTGGTTCATCGTCCGTCTGGCACAAAAGGGATGGAAAGCATCGCTGGCAGTGGAATTGATCTTCTCATTCGGCCATTGCTTGATTTGGATCCTTGATTGATTTTTCGGTCTCGATTTTATTATTTGTTTATCAGCACCGTCGACCGCCGGATAAAAAGAGTCGTGGCCCTCGATCCTGCTATATAGCCAACTGTCTCTGCCCGAGATCACTTCCTTCTCCGTCACACCTGATTTCTCTTTGATTATTTTATTTGATCCTATTTTTTTTCTTTGATTGACAACAAATCATCCATTTCTGCCTATCGGAGTTACCACTGACGACCGCCACTACTCACTTCTTCCATACTTATTTTAAGCCAGGACACTCTGGCCCCCGTACACCCACCCCCTTCCCCTACACCGTATTTTGAAACCGACCCCAGCGCATTACTTGGGCGGCCTCATAAATCCCTCGTTTGTCCTCTGTCGACCGGTTCTTATCTTTCTTGTTTTTTTTTTTTCACGCCCGTACCGAAGATATCATCGTGCCGTGTCTCCTTGCCAGCCGGTTACCGTGGATGACAGCCGTCTCCCATTACATCACAGCATTGACAGAAAATTGATTTCAAACTGAAAAGTGAGTCGTTCTAGATTTGCGATCAAAATAATATGCCGGAATTACATCATCCCCATGCCGTTCCCTGCGTTTGCTGCGGAAGGCTCTTGTTCGGGGGCTTCCGGAGCCTTGTATATCGGAGCCCTACCTAGTACCTACATCATACTATGCGGCAACCATGACGGGAGTGTATAAGAATGAACTAACCAACCAAGCTTTCAGACTCTCGATATTTTCAAAAGATCTCCTCTCCTCCTTTGGCAGACTCTATCGCCTTCCCAAATTGTCTTAGGACTTTTGGTCTCGCCACCCTTACCTACTCTCAACCATCAACTATACTCCTAATCCATAATCAACCTCCAAACAAGCACAATGGCCACCCCAGTCGCCGCCCCTCGTCGCAGTCCTCCGACGATCATGACACCCTCCACCTTCACACAAGACATCTCCCGCGCCATCATGGCCTCCAGTCAAGTCCCCAAGTCCATCAACCTCGAACTCAACCCCCAAGCAAACCTGGAGTTCCCACCACCACCCCCGCCTCCGTCTCCTGTTGAATCGCAAGGCGCAACATCATTCTGGGGACCGACGATAGACGCCAAACGGGCTTGAATTTGGAATACGTCTTGTTTTCAGTGACTTGGTCCGACAAGACAGACAAGTCTGATAGCGCCCTCCTTTGCTTGATCTTCGTTTGGCCACTTGGGTTCTCGTTTTTTACTACAGATGGATATGGGGTTCTTGTTTCTTTCTAGTTGTTTTTCTCTCTCTTTAGCGATGTGTCCATTCCAGTCGGTCTGCGCGTTTGTTTCATGGGTTTGTTTGTTTGTCTTGATACAGTATGGGAAATGGAAGGAAAGGAAAGGACAGGCAAGGGAAGGAAAATCGGAAGAAGGAAAAGCAAATGTCATGGAATGGGTTTGTTTTTTACTCTTAATGGGATACGGTATTAGATTATACGCTTTCACACCTACACTTACACTGACACTCACACCAATAACACCAATAACAAGCTAATCAATATCTGCTAACTTGACTTTTTCTTTCTATTTCGAACTATCATGACATGACATGACATGTCTGCTTCGCGCACCGCGAGAGATCATCATTGGATAACTATCGATATGACAGGTTTAGAGGAGCGTTTGCCACCTATTGGGAGTAAAAGAAAAGAAGCAAGCCAAGCTAAGCTAAGCTAATATCTCTCCCACAGCCTCAAGCCAAGCTTCATTCACGCCAGGAGACATGAGGCTCAGCAAAGTGAGTCACCTAAAAACCACCAAACCATGACGCCATCCCATGGGCAGGCAAAAGAACGAACGGACGAACGAACGAAACCGGTTCCGTCAAGTTCGGTGGGGTCAGCTATCAGGCTGAGAAAACAAAACAACGGAAGCCTAGACTAGACCACTACACTCCCGTGGAAATGAATCTCGCATGCGAAACGAGGCCCGAGGTGTTTGTTAGGCGCGCGGGCGCGCGGGCGGACGATACGCGGCGATATGCTAATACCTAGCTAGCAGCAGCTAATCAGGCGGGCTGTTCTGAACATCCTCGGTTCGGCGGATATTGTCACGTGATAAATACGACCGGGTGGCGATAATCGGCGATTGGCCCTGATGCTGGGAGTAAAGCCGACGGACGGAGAACCGGAGCGGAGGCATTTCCAGTGAGTTCAAGGAAAATCTAGAATTGCCATATGTCCGAGTAACGGCGAATACGGGCCACGGGTGAAGGGCTAGGCTAGATTCAACGCTCTGGAGGCGCGTCTTCATCAGCCTCTCGGCTTCCCATCTGCGCGTAGAGATGTTCTAGTTGCGCGATAGCGTCGGTGTTCCCTTGTGTGGCGGCATCGTTGAGCCGAGAGATCTCCGCTAGCTGCTCGTCTGTCTGCACCCAGCCTCGGAAGCGGTCTTCCAGGTTCTGCGTGCGCTTGAGGCTGAAGACTTTGCGCACGGGGTCCGTCTCGCCCTTGGCTTGCTTGAGGCTGATCAGGCGATCTAGGAATCGCGCTTGGTTGGTATTGGTGCTTGCGGGACCTGTTCGGCGCGTGGGAGGCAGCCCGGGTGTTGATGCGCCGCCGGTGACGCCGTCTGCGGATGAGGTGGTGGATGGATCGGCGGGGATGGATCCTGCTGGGCCGGCGCTGGAGATGAGGTTCGCTTTGCGGCCGAGGATCTTGACGCTGTTGGCGGCGAGGAGGTCGAAGTCTTTGGTGTGTTTGAGCGGGGTGATCTGGGCTGCTCGGGGCTCTGAATCTGGTTCTGGCTCGGGCTCCGGTGCGGGCGCAGGCTCGGGTTGGGTGAAGAGTAGCTCTGTGCCTATCTGGTCGGCCCAGGAGCAGCTGAAGATTTGGTTCTGGTAGGAAACGATGGGGTTGCGCGTGTGTAGACCGAGGATCTGTACTCGTTCTGCGGGGGTCTGGTCCACTTCGGTGCTTGCTAGGGTGGACTCGTTCTCGTCGGCTTGCGGGGGTAGAGCTGATGCGGAGGAGGATTGCGCGGGGGTGGAGGTTGAGGAGGTCGGGTCGTGCCTTTTGCGCGGTGGCCGAATGGGCCCGTTGTGAGAGGTGAGGTCTAGGTTGAGGTAGAAGGTCTGTTGGGGGAAATTCACGGGTCAGCTGGACTGTCGTAGAATTTTTGGTCTATCATGTAATTCTTTTGGCGAGCTTTACCTCAGTCTCTTGTTCGTCGTATTCATATTCATACTCGTAGTCCGAATCCAGATCCTGGTCATACTGCAGGTGAGTGTCCGCTAGCAAGGCCGGATCCAGCACCGACGCTGGCTCTGGATGCGCCTGCATGGTCAGAGCAGGTTGCTAGCTGTTTATAATTCCATGAAATTTCTGGCAGAATACATGCAATTGATCGGTCGTAGTGAGTGATATATCCTGAAGATAATGTAGAAGGATAAGGTGAGTAAAGTAAGCTGTGAAAAGTCATATACTGGGATGCGGCAATGCGACAAGCTTGATCCACACGCGCCAAGACCGATGGACACCTGAATCCCGCCTCAGGCAAACCTTCCATATTGAGGCGGTGACGGGCTGCAGATCAGTGGGTTCTGATTGGCCCGAGCGTATCGGGATGATTCGCGTCTGCTGACATAATCCATACTAACTATAGGATTCGATCTGATCAACCTCACTCCATCCGTCGTCATCTTCCCCACTTCTCCATTCCTCCTCATTCCGTCATTACATCTGAAGAGGGAACAAAGGAGAGGGAAAGAGAGACCTCACAGACCCCCCTTGGCATCCGGTCTCTCAACTGGAATGATGACCGAGTCCCCCGCTCTCTTGGTACGGTGATGGTTCCACGGTCGAAACGACTTAACAGACGCCCCCTCATCCGACCTGATCCACTTCTGACTGACTCCGCATCCAATAGGTACCGACCACAGTCCATTGTTCTGTCTCAGGTACGACAACTGTGGGCTTACTGACCGACATCACATCAGCCTTACCACCGCCTCTCTCTTCCGGCATTTTCTCTCTTTCTCTCTCTCTGTTTCTCCCTCTCTCCCCGCCTTTTTAGTGGGAACTGACGGCGGTGATGGTGGTGATACCATAACTAAATCAATACCACCTCAACCTTCCGCATATCAATCCTCTATCAAGACCACCAGCTCGTCCCTCTTTCGATCTCATCTATCGTCGGACCCATTTTTATGGTCTACTCCATACTTGAGAAGGTCATTGTTCGACTTATCATCCATACCCCCCATCAGCCAGCCTGAGTGAGTTCTCTCTTTTCTTTTCCTGGTGATTTGGAATCCTTCATCTTGGGCCATGAAAGAGTTGTGGTCGCCGTTCATTTGACAATTCTGTTCTCTGCCTTTTGCGTGCCCTGCTAGAACTGTCATGGGGCATGAATGATTGAAATTACCTCCGCTTTCTAATCCTTGGCCCCATGCTTCATTCTTATCTCTCCACTACGTCGGTGACCCCGTGTCTTTGGTACATACATAATTGGCCACCCGGCAGTGGGCGGAAGCCAAGTCAGAAGAATGGGCCACGGCTGATCGCCGCTCGTTCTGGATGCTCTGTCAAGATGCATCCGTCGACTTCCATTCCGTTTTCTACACCTCCCTTCTTGCATTTCATTCCAACTCATCAAAACTGGACCTTGGCAGACTATCTTGCCTCCTTGTGGTCTCTTGAGAAATCATTCCTTATTATTTTTTATTTTTTACTATTTAATGCTTGTTCTGATTTGGACTCTTCCTTCCCAATTATCCACTATCTCGACACTTCCTAAACCACATCCGTCTTTCCCGGTCTCACCTTCTTTCCTGCCCAGTCATCTGTCACATAACCCCCTGTATCCTTCATTGTAATTAGTCTTTTTCTCCCTTTTTTTATGGTTTTCTTTTTTTCTTTCAGTCTAGTCCAGTGTCAATGGCTCGTGTCGCCCCCTCCTTCCCCCACTCATAGAGTTCGTTGCTGGACTCGGTAACCGTGCTGTTCCCACAGCTGTTCTCGACCACTGCTGACGGGACAATGCCTTCGTGCGTGCTTCCCTTATTATAGTGTGGCCTCCTCCTCTGCTTCCGGGCCTGGCTGCCCGATGGTCTCGCTTTTCTTGCTATCTCTTTCCCTTGTTTTTATACCTTGTATTCTGTAATCCCGTTCCTCGATCCCATGCTCCGGGTCCTTTGCTCTTCATCCCTTCCGCGGAGTCCTCCTTGACAATCCCCATTGTCTCTCGGCCTGACGGTGGTACCCCGACCGGGAAGATTGTCATCGCTACCGCCGACTCCGCCACGCTTCCCGCGGCGACCAAGGAGGTCGAACGGCCCGGTCATCCCCAGTCACCGTCCGACTCCGCCCTCGCGGCTCATCCCAGTCTTGGACAGCAGATGGTGCAAAAGGCCACCGCCGCCATCGTCATTCTCTCGTCGCTGATTGCGTATGTCACCGTCAACAGTGCGGTCCGCGCCGTCAACCCGCGCGCGTTTGTCTGGTCGGCCGAAGACAACGACGAGAAGCACTGGATCGCGTCCTCCCCCTCCTGGCTGGACCGGAAAGCTTGTCGCTGGCTCGGCCTTTGTGGGACCGCTCATTTCCACCCCGCTGGTCCCCGTTTCGGCCAGCGGGGTCCCCCCTCAGCGGATGAGGAAGAAGACGCTGAGCCGTGGCGATCGTATTGGTGGAATGGGACAGACGCTGTCGACGAGACGTGGGACGAGGCGGAACGCTCCCGTCGCCTCATCCCCGACTATGTCTTCCGGTATGCGCCTCTCGTCCACCTGTTCTCGGACGAGCAATTCTGGCCGGGCGATATCGCGGAGCATCTCTACCACGTCACCCCGACGCTGAACTATACTCCCATTCAGTCCCAAGAGCAGCACCCCTCTCTGGAGGACCTGGATGAGTTGAACCAGTGGCAGGATGGGCATCCTGTGTTCCTGACCAGCAATGACAACGTGGAGGACCGTCCTCCCTGGATGGAAGGCGAGAAGAATATCCCAAGAAGCCCCAGCGGTGATGTCGAACAATCTTGGGCGGATTGGGATGGCCGCGTTGACGGGGGAATCCCGGACGATACCCCTGAGGAGCGGGCGAAATGGTATGACGCGGCACAACTAGCGGACGAGGACCTCGACGGCATGTCCCCGGATGCGCTTGGCTACCCCCAGCCAGAAGACATCCTCAATTTCAAAGATGACGAGATTGTGCGTGATGAGCTTCGAAAGCGGTATGGCGGGGAACCAATTCACGCCGAGACGTCCAAGGGCCGCAGTGATGCACCGGCCATCCTGCTGGTGATGGACAAGGGAAGCGGCATCATCGATGCCTTCTGGTTCTTTTTCTACAGCTTCAATCTCGGGAATGTGGTCCTGAACGTACGGTTTGGAAACCACATTGGGGACTGGGAGCACTGTCTGGTCCGATTCCACCACGGAAAGCCCAAGGCACTCTTCTTCAGCGCACACTCGGCAGGGGAGGCGTACAGCTACGAAGCCGTTGAGAAGATCGGCGAACGGGTAAGCCCACCCCCCCTCCCCACTCACCCGGACCACGTTCGGGAAGTGCTAACCGTGATCGATTGCAGCCGGTCATCTACTCCGCCGCGGGGACCCATGCCATGTATGCCACCCCAGGCATCCACTCCTACATCTTGCCCTGGGGGCTACTCCACGACCGGACCGATCGTGGGCCGCTGTGGGATCCCCTTCTGAATTCCCACTCGTACACGTATGACTTTGGCGAAGATGACTTGCGCGCTTCCACGGCCACCCCGTCTTCCCCGACGGGATGGTTCTACTTCCAAGGCCACTGGGGTGATAAGTTCTACCCGCTTGGTGACGAGCGACAATATCGGTTCGCAGGACAGTACCATTACGTGAATGGGCCCGTGGGGCCCCGGTTCAAGCACCTCAATCGTCGCAGGGTCTGCCAGGGACCGGATACGAGTCCATGCGTGATCAAGGATTATGTTGGGGAGCATAAACGGGCCAAGCGTTGGGTCAACCCTGACCCCGCAGAATACCTCTCATAGAGAGGGTAACGTGTCTTACGATATTCTTAGACCGCATGCTGCAGTTCTAATTCCAGTACGCCGCCGTCATACCCTTCCTAAATTTGTCGGGCCCCGTCTGGTATTATTCCCTTTGGCTGGCCTACTTTCATGGGACTGGATCTTCTGTTTTGGCTTGCTTCCTGGTGCTATTTTTATGTCGGGTATACCCCATGAGCTTTTGTTTTTCTTTTTTCTTTCTTACTGCTCTATCCTTTCTTCCATTCTTATCGCCTAGATGGCTAGTTGGTTGGGAGGTTGTTGAGAACGAACGGCTATGACGGAAACGTGTTACATGATCAATACTGAGTGCAGGGTGATGGAAAGAGCTTTCTCCACTAGATGAGTGCTCTTGGGAATGTCGGGGGAGTTCGCGCTTCTCTCGCCCCACCTGGTAGGAAGGCAATGATGGCGTTGTGGAGCTACGGTGCTAAATGTGAAGACTTGAATAATGATTTTGGGTAAATACGTTAGTGCGTGAGGTTCTCGGTCTACGGTACCTTTAGATGTCCAATCCTGTAGCAGATCCAATTCTCGTAGTATAACAAGCCTGGATGGATTAGAGTGACATCGCAGCTAAACGTGGAGTTTAGATAGCATTGTACATGGCGATGGCGACCCACCTATGCAAATCCGCCCCAACCACATTCGTTTCCCACCAGGAGGCTCAAGCCAAAACTCCCTCAACCCCATCTTTCCAGAGACCGGCGCTTCTACCAGCCATAATTAGTTACGAAGTGAGCAAACACATTAGTGAACATCCACTCACTCCCTTCCACGCCACCTGGGAATCTCTCGAGTTAGCTGAAGGATCTCTAGAAAGGGTTATATATTATACACTATTGGATTAGTATATACGCATTTTCCTACATAGGTACTGTAGCTACTATTGACTATCTACCAAGAGTCGAAGAGCATAGTAGGTAGGTGGGTAGGTAGGTACCCAGGTAGATAGATAGGTAGACAGACTAGTTGGAAATGAGAACCACCTCAAGAATTACAAAGTCGAATTCGAAGATCTAACTAAACCAGAGACTAAAGAAAGAAAGAAAGAATGAATGAATGAGAATTGAACTACCAGTTGAATTGAATTGAATTGATTGATTGATTACATTCGTTTCACACCAGTAACTAACTAACTTGACGGAAGGGGTGATGGAAGGGGCCGGGGCAGGATGAACATGAATAAGATAAGGAAGGGAAGTCAGAAAGAAACAAGAAAGAAGAAAGAAAGAACGTTGGGCATATCGATAGACAGCTGAGCGGGGGGAATATGGTAAACATTAGAAGAGAGATAAGAAGATTATTGAGAGTGGAAGGAGATGAAGATAGAATAAAATATGTTGGGGGTCTGGAGTTTGGATCAGACAGGCAGAAGATGATAAAAAAGAGGAAGAAGAGAAATAAGAGAAGGAAAAAAGCAGGTCGAACTGCAAATTGAACTGCCTCAACAGACTCAAGATAGACTCCCCGTAGTTAATAAATATCAAGTAAACAAGCAGGCAGATAAACACATAAACAAGACTTCCATGGGAATAATAAGGTGATATCGAAGCGCAGGAAACCGAGACAATGGGAGAATAAAAAACAAAGCAGCAATCAACCGGTCAGGATTAGAAACTCCCAGATAGACACAATGAACGCCGAATCCAACAGGCTAGAAAAGCGCACGCGGTGGGTTCGGAAGGAGGCTGAACACCACATACGCACGCGCAGAGAGAGAGGGAGAGGGAGGGAGGGAGAGAGAGCATGACGCGAAGGATAGAGAGAGAGAGAAAGAGAGGAAGAAGAGAAAGACAAGGCCAGCCAGAGAAAAAACGCCAACTAAAAGAAACCAACCACCCACATAAACAACCCAGGGAACAACCAGGGAACAAGACACCAGGCCCCATGTCCACCAGATCACCCCCATCCCAGAAACGCCTTATCCTCAACCAAAGCGAGCAAAACAACAGATGGCACAAAAGAAATCATATCACGTCGTGGCGAAGAGCAAATGTCTCCCAGCGAGCCAGCCGGCTTCGCTTACACTCGCGTCGACCGTTTCCGCAGCCCGAACTCTTGCTCCTGCAGCTCCCGGATCAGACGCAGACTCTCGGCGTCTGGCTCCCCGTCAACGGAGCCAGCCTTGTCATGTCGCTGATTCTTAGCTGAGGGTCCCGGAGACGCGGCCGAGGCCGTCGACCGATCGGCTCTTTTCTCGGCCGAGGGGAAGAAGCTCTTCTTGGCGTGGGAGGACGACGGCCGCGATGAGGACTTCTTGAACCCTGAGGAAGGACCTGGCGTGGTCGTGCGTTTGGGTGTGCCAGATGCGCTGAATGATGCACGGCGCTGGAGTGCGGGGTGGGCTGCTGGTTTGTTCGCCTTGGTGCTGGAGTGTGTCTCCGAAAGATACCGATCAAGATGGCGGGGTTGGCGGGAGGAATGGCGGGAACTGGATGTCGGCGTATGGATGATCGTCCCGTGCTCCCCCTCACCATCGCCATGTTCGTGGGGGATGTCCGTTTCATCGGCCTGTGATGTGGGTGGCGACACGAGCGAATTGGTCGGCTTGGAGGACACCGAGGTCGAATTGACATCCTTCGTGACAACGGGATCCGTCTGGAACGCGGGCGGCGATGCGTACGACGTCTGTCCTAGGATAACGTCTTTGTCTATGTCCATCTCGTCCGTCTGCTGCAAGTCGGCGACCGGATTGGGATAAGAAATGTCTGCAAGAGAGTTGTCGGAAGGCACGGCCCCCTCGAAGTGCCGAGACGACTGGATGTCCAGAGTATCCGAAATCGGATCGCCTCTGCCGTGGAGATGTGCGGACTGCATCAAGGGAGACGTGCTCTCCTGCTTCGGTTTCTTATTCATGGTCGACAGAGGTCCTTCTTCGCTTGGGCGAGGCCGTTTCGCCGACGCCGCTGCTCGAGGTTTCGCGCGCTCCTGTGCCTTGATCGGATCGATTCTACCGTATTCGTCGTGGATGCACCGACGCTGAGCCACATTAGTTATTGATTCGCATCCGAAGGGCGGGGGAGTGCACATGTACGAACCTTGCTCTTGCGGCAGTCGTCACAGGCTTTACTGCGTCCTTTCTTCCCGGTACTGGTACCATCCGGGCCAATATCCGTAAACCTGCTGGCCGTATGCGGAGTCACCATGACAGTCGAACCGTATTTGGCGGCAGCCTCGAGAGGATCCAAAGTCCCCCCGCTGCCGCCGTCCGGGAGGCCTGCCTCAGATGCAATGGCGGCCAAGGAGTTTAGAGCCGTTGCGGCATCGTGCGCCAGAGACGTTTGACTCCCCGGCGCGAAGGCGCCAACAGCCATCTGCTTACTCGAGATCGCGTCGCTGTTTCCATCTTTGTGGTGGCATCGGATGCGGCGCTTGCGGCAAGCATCGCAAGCAACCCGTTTCGGGCCCAGACCAGAGCCACGCGGAGTATTGCGAGGTTTGAGAGGAGGAACGGGGAGGGGGGCTTCTTCGGCCGGAGGATTTCCCGAAGAGTGCGATGTCGTGGGAACACTGCTGCTGCTGCTGCTGGACGGGAGAGGGGGGCCGCCGCTGCTGGCATGGCCATTGGGGATTTCGCGGGGTTCGGAGGGTTCGGGAAACCGCTGCACAGCCTGTCGCTCGGTGTACATGCGCTGGCTGTCCTGATTGCGTTCCGAGCGGCGGCTCGGCCTCCCAGCGGGCTTCTTCTCAACCAGGGTCAGTTTGGCGTTGCTCTCGATCACGCCGGGGCGCGTCCAGCTGGCCGCCTTTTCGTTCCCCCGCTTCCAGGCCACCCAGATCCCGAAGGCCCGGACCGTCTCCACCGGGTCTCCAACGCCCTTGGGGATCGAGCGACGGATAGCGTTTCGGGTGTCCACCGTCACGCCCTCAATGGCATAACCGTTGGCGATCAAGGCGGTCCGGAGGAGATACTTGGCGAGGTCCGGCAAACCCTCCAACTCCGCTTGAGAGTAGAAGCGGGAGTTGTGAGCGGGGGACCCGAGCGGGTGATCGGTGGCGCGCTCGCCGAATTCGTAGTAAATCGGATATTCGCGGTAGAAGCGGTGATTCTCGTCGTGGGCGAAGGCGTCAGAGACACTCTGGGGGATCGGGTCGTCTTCCAGGTATCGCAGCGCCGTGTACCACTGGATCTTCTGGAAGTACGGGTATCGGAACTTCCGGGGCACCTTGGTGTCCTTCTCGATCTTGGCGATCTTGATCTGCATGCCGTAGTTCAGCCGAGTCAGAAAGTTCCCACCGATCACCAGACTGTTTTCCGGCGTCCAGACGGCGTGGATCCACCCCGACGGGATCAGCATGGTATCGCCCTCGGAGAGATCCACCCGGTAGCATTCCTTGGTCTGGTCGCCGAGGAAGGTGTCGTCTTGGGCGGGCGAATTGCACCATTCCTCGTACTTCTTCAGGTGCTTGTCCTTGGGCGGGATGAAGAAGAAGGTCTTCTTGCCCTTGAGGATATGATAGTAGACTGAGGATCCGCCGAAATCGATGTGGAAGTCGGTGTAGCAGTCCGCGACCGACATCAGGCAGTAGAACTGGACCTTGGGGTATTCGCCGACGGCCTGGAGTTCGGTGGGCCAGACGGCATCCTGCAGATCCAGGTCGCGGACGACCTTGGGCCGCCGGATCAGCTTGCCCAGTTTGCTCTGGGAGATCTCCAGGCTGATGACATTCCGGACGACCTTGGCCCCGGTGCTCTCGTAGTAATCCGCCCACTTCTGCATGGTCCAGCGCCGGTCCTCCCCCTGCTGGGATTTGACGTCGATGACCTCCACGCGCTCTTCGGGCCCGTACAGCTCGGCCACCGCCCGGACGGTCAAGCCGCGGGGGAGCACCATGTCCAACTGGTCTTGGCCGCAATCGACCACCGGCTCCAGAGTCCGGTCCTCGTCGTCCGCGGGCAAGTGTTCGAGCAGCTCGTCGAACATCTCCCGGGTTGAGGCGTCGCCGGCGAGCGCGTCAAAGTCGGGATCGGCGGCGGGGACCGAGTCGCAGGTGTTCCAGCAGGCGGGGATGACAATGGGTTCGGACATGCCGTTGCCCCGCTCGAAGTACTCGGCGGTGACCAGCTCCGGGCGCATCCGCGGGAAGGACTCTGGGAGGAAGTGGATCTTGCCCTCGCGGATCGGCTCGATGTAATGGTGCTCGAGCGCGTCGGAGGCGGCCTTGACCAGGCCCTGGTTCAGTCCCGCATAGTCGATGGACGTCCGGGCGCGGGACGACTTGCGGACGAAGGTCGTCTGTCCGTGGACGGGGCGACACCCCCGGCAGATGAACTTGTCGACGGTCCGGATCTCGCGATCGTTCTTGAACCCGGCGCAGACGATGTGGAACCACCGCTTGCAGCCGTCGCAACTGATCCACGTCACGCCGTCCAGGTCCTCCGTGTCCACCGGGATCCGGTCGAGGTTGCAGGCGGCGCAGCTGGCCTGACCGGAGGCCTGCGACTCGGTCTCGTCGCCCTTCTTGATCGGCGGATGCATCGGCGTCGCGTCGGGACCCGTCATCGCCGTCGGACCCGGGTGGACCACAGGCGCATCGTCGATGGCGGTGTTACCCCACCGGTCTCCGGCATCCCCGTCTTCCTCCTGCCACGGGATCGGTGGCAGCGTGGACGCGCTCGTGCTGGGCCTCATCCCGTGGATGATGGGCCTCGAGACGGCGGTGGAGCCATCCGACTGCGATCGCATGCGGGAGGGCGGTACGCCTCCGCCGCCGGGGCCACTGTAGCCCTGCGGCCCCGTGGGCGCCGCTCCCAAACCCGTCCTGGCGGGGCCGTTCATATCATGGCCATGTTGATAGGGGTATGACTGATCGATACTGACGCGTTTGGGTGGATGTGAGATGGGCGGGAAGTTCGAGGGTCGCGCAAAGTTCAAGAGAAGTTCTGCATCGGTCTTCATGCTGTCCAAGACGGAGGAGGCGGCGTCCGGCACGGCCGCCGGAGCGGGCTGGTGGAAGGGTGACAGGTCTTTCTCCGACCGCGGGCGCTTTGCGGGCCGTTCGGCGGAGTCGGCGGGTTCGGAGGGGAACAGCGACATGGCGGACGCGGAGTTCTGGGAGGGCGGGCGATAGGAGAGGGGTGCGAAGGTCGGGCTCGTGGCCAACGCAATGGTCGCAAGGGTATCGATGGTGGAATTTGATCGGCCATGACCGGACCGCCGGGAAGCGCCCCCCTCCGCGATCCTGGGTCGACCATCATTCGGGGAGAAGCGAGAACGATCTACCGTGGCAGCCCGGGGGACCCCGCGGTCGGCCCAGGACGCACGGAAGTCGGCGGTGGTGCAGGGAGAGATCGGCTCGACGGCGCGTCGCGGGGGGGATGGCGTGCGGTACCGGGGCGGTCGGGTACCGGGATGGTTCAAGAACGAGGTAGCACTGATCATGTCGACGGAAGAAGATGGGAGTCGGAGAGGAGAAGGTCAGAAGAAAAGGAGGGCGGGAAGGACGCGCAGAGGAAAAATGCCTGCGGTAGATAAAAACCAGAGGTTGAGTGGGGGGGGTGAAATCTTCGACCACGCGGGCTAAAGAGAGGCCACCGCAGGCAAAAAGGCAGTCATTCCTGGCGGGATGGAGGGCGCCGTATGGGGACAAAGAGATGGTATCGAAGTCGAGAGCAGCAAGGAGGCAAGAGGTTTGGCGCCGTCGGAGATCGCAGGTCGGCAATCCCGCCGAAGACTCGAAAGGGGGGGGGGGGGAGATTTTTTCCCCGAGACGAAAGAGGAGTATTGCGGCCAAACCGATGACGGATTGGTGGGTCGATTGACAGGAGAAGGACGGTGGTGTAGTTTGATCGGTCGTGATGGTGGACGTGGTGGACGTGGTGGTGGTGGTAGCGGCGGGTGGGCACAGCACCGAGGGAGGCGGACGCGGGCAATCGCAGGTGTGGTACTGCGAAGACAGGATGGAAAGACAAAGAGATGAAGAGAAGAGATCAAACGATTGAAGATAGAGAAGTCAAGGAAGGCGATTGATAGATGAGAGGGAAGAGAGAGAGGTTGAAGAGGGAGAGGAGAGGAGGGGAGGAGAGAAGAGACTGAAGATGAGAGAGAGGAGGAGGAGGAGATGGAAGAGAGAGAGAGACAGAGGAGGGGAGGAGAAGGCGGGCTGAGGCAGGCAGAATGCGTGTGCCTGAGGCAGCCACTCAGGATATCGTTTGCAGTACGGAGTGCAGAGTAGACAGTTTTATTCCTTGATTCTGATTCAATCCTCACTTCTGATCTCCATCTGTGTTCTATTCAAACATCTTCTACCTCAGTCCATCCTACATTGATTGTCCCATGAATTCCATAGAACACTCACCAGTTGGCCATCGATCATACTGAGGCTCCCACTCCCGCTAAACCCAATACAGAAGGCGACTCCCGTTCCCGAACCTCGTTGCTTCATCTGCAACGGAGAACTTGCCTCTGCTCTCCCTCTGTCTTCCTCGCTTTCCCTCCCTTCTTGCCTTTTCTTCTGTCCCACTTCTGTTCATTATCCTCTCGACTTCATCTCTCCCTTTGAGCCCTTCTGTCTAGACTGTTCTTTTTCCCACCCGAGAATGAGCCGGAAGCTCGCCCCCGAAGCCAATCGGTAAGTCTGTGGTGCCTCTCGCCTGGATTGAGTTTGCCCCTCCAACGACGCCGCCAGTTCTGGTCGATATGGATGCGCCTGGATTGTTGCGCATTTACCGTTGGACTGGATTGCATCTCGGGGGCTTTTTTTTTTTCTTGCTTTTTTTTTTTTCTAAAAAAATGTCATCGGGATCGGGACTAACGGGATGCTAGGATTCTCTTTGTCAAGAACCTCAAGTACGCTGAACCCGAGGACCCCACGAGTCGAGTCGACATGCTGGTGTCCGTTACTGACCACATGGACTGTACAGCTACAACGTGACCGCAGAACAGCTCTTTGATCTTTTCGGCAAGTTTGGTCCCATCAGGTAAGCGCCACCCTGCCACGGAACAAGAACGAAAAAAAGAAAGAAAAAGAATGGATGAAAGAAAGAGAGGGAGAAAGAGAGGGAGAAAGAGAAGAGAAGAAATGATGGATGAGTATCTGACAACCTCCAGACAAATACGACAGGGAATCGCAAACAACTCCAAGGGCACTGCATTTGTGGTCTACGAGGACGTACACGACGCCAAACAGGCATGCGATAAGCTCAATGGGTTCAACTTTCAGAACAGATATCTCGTCGGTAGGTGGTCCTAGAAATCGATGTGACGGTATATCCAGGATTGGATAGGAAGGCTAACTTGAATGGGGAACAGTACTATATCACCAGCCAGAGAAAATGCTTAAATCGAAAGAGGATTTGGCGGAAAGGCAGGAAAATCTGGAGCGTCTCAAACAACAACACGGTATAGAATGACGTTACGGATTTTCTTTTGTCGGTTTCTTTGCGTACCCTTTGCAGGCACATCGCCGCACGTTATCATGGGCTGGTTGTGGGGTTTCTGGCGTTTTCACTCCGATGGGTTTCATGGCTCTTCTCCGTCTGGATGGTGGCCGGCCGGTGGACGGATCGCTCGCGCGGGTCACCGATCCCCCGGGGAACGGATACAGAATGGGTTTTGTTTCATCCTGGGATCAGGTCCAATTATACCAGTTGAATCTCTACTATCAATATAATCCTTCCAATGGTCGACCACGGTCGGCGATCTGACCTCAATCTGTCTTCCTGAGCGGTGTGTGAATCAACGTAGACTTGTCTACATGGGTGTTTTATATGTAAGGGTCTGGTGGAGTATGCACTGATCGCCCAACGGCCGACTCCGACAGGCACCAGGCACTTACCCTCCATAGTTGGGGACAAGGCTCCTGTACGGATGCCTAATCTGGCTGATATGCATCATGCACCCAAGCCCTGTAGCGTATCTGAAGTCGCGCGAACTAGTACCGAGTAGTTTGAGTATCTTCTACATTAGGTATGGTATCAATCTTGATCAGATAGGACATGGAATTATGATGTCGCCTGTCGCCCAGTATTGACTACAAACTAATCGACAGTCCTCACTTGAGACACTAGTCATGAGAATACAACGGTATGGAGGGGCATAATTAGAGCTCTCGGGACATCCAACCCTGTCGCATTCGCAGTGGAGGGGAGGAGGGGTGATCATGATAACGATCGGATGGAGCGATAATGATGAGCACATCATTGCCTCAATATTCAGGCATCCATATGCAGTAGTCCACCGCCTACCCAATCCGGCTAAGTCGAGTCTCCACCGGGCGAACTTTCACTTTTCAAGATTTTCCTTCATCTCGACTTTCTCTCTTGATTTTCAACCACTACGCCTCGCTTCCTCTCACTTTCCCTCCATCTTTTTTCCTGCACCGTCGGCAGTGATCCATAGCCGTGAGCCATCTCTCTCATTCAACTTCTTCTTTTTTATCTTTAAAGAATCATGTCTGCCGAACCCAATGCCGGTAAGTTTTTATTTCCCCAACTGGAGGATCTTCCGATGCGATCAGTCAACTAATCTGTATCTGTTTGATAGCCTGGCCCCTGGCCGATGAGGCCCTCACCCAGCAGCTGCTGGACCTTGTGCAGCAGGCTTCGCACTACCGCCAGCTGAAGAAGGGTGCCAACGAGGGTAAGATGATCCCATCCGGATGAAGCCGCATTTTGCATTTGTGCATTTCACATATTTTATATTGTACCTGTACTAACAGTTGAACAGCCACCAAGACCCTCAACCGCGGTACTGCCGAGCTGGTCATCCTCGCGGCCGACACCACCCCTCTGGCCATTCTGCTCCACATCCCTCTCCTGTGTGAGGACAAGAACACCAGCTACATCTTCGTCCCCAGCAAGCTCGCCCTGGGTCGCGCCACTGGTGTCTCTCGCCCTGTGATCGCTGCTAGCATCACCACCAACGAGGCTTCTGACCTGATGGGACAGATCCGTACCCTGAAGGATAAGGTTGAGCGCATGATGATCTAAGATATTGAGATATTGATTGGGGGTGATATAGACGGATAATGAAACTTTTTTTTTTTTTTTTTATACTTTTCTTTGATCGGTTTTCTTCACGATGACAGAAGTTGGATTCCGGAATACTTTTGGACGACGTTGGAGACTTCAAGTTCGGAGACTATGATGGAGTTACGTTGATGTCCGTATATGAGATAGTATTAGACAGTAATGTCAACCAAATACCTCGATCTCTCTTTTTTTCTATCATTTCTTCTCTTATTTTTTTTATTTTTATTTTTATTTTTTTTTCATTCCTTTTTACACCTATAAATATAATTATTCGTATACCAGATTGACACCGTAAGAAAATAGTAAGTAGAAGATAATCCGACTTGGCGTGGGGCGGAGTAGGCATAAGGACGGCGTAGGATGCCTTAGTGCCTGTTGGTCACATTCTTCACTACTAACACTGCCGGAGCCCCAACGGAGCACTAAGTCGCCCCCCGTTCTTACGTCGCGTTACTCCTCTTTCTTTCTCTCTCTCTCTCTCTCTCTCTCTCTCCATCTGTCATCTTCATCTTCCCACTTCTCCACCACATTTTCAATAAATTCCCACTTGGCTCAGCCTCCTTGCTGGTAGAGGAGTACGCCCAACTGTATATATTTTCCCCCTCCTTCTCTTCCTTTTCTAGCTTTGGTGGGACCTGATCCACTCCGACTATTACTACTCCGATCTTTCTATCGCTTTTTGGACCGTGGCCCGCATGTCTGCCTCACGAACCACCCTGCTCATATAGGGAGGTTCTTATTGACTCGTCCCACTCCCTTGTCGTCATCTTTCTTACTCCTTCCTTCCTTCTTCCTCGTTGGGATTATCGCGGGTGAACCGTGGCCGTCGAGTGACCTACGCTATCTGGCTTCCCCCGCGAAGGGAAACCAGACCCCCCTCCCACCGTCCCACCGTCTATATCGACGAGATTGACCAGGACGATGACTATGTCTCCCTCATTCTCGGCGAGGGCCGTGTCAGCCATCGCCCTCGCCCTCCTTATCCATAACGTCGCCGCATTGGCCGATGACGCTTCTCCCACTAAAACCACCACGACGTCATCGTCTCCCCAAAAAATCCACTATCCGTTGGCAGGACCCGACCCCAAGGGCGATGGGGAGGACTCGGGCGAATGCAGGCTCCTGGGGCCGTTTTCCCTTTTCGTGCAGGCCGCGCTGGGGGCGCTGGCGCTTCTATCACTCGTTTACAAGCGGTGGAGGGAACGCCCGCAACGGCCCTTGAAAGTCTGGGCCTTTGATGTCTCGAAGCAAGTCTTCGGCTCGGCCATGTTGCACCTGGCCAATCTGCTCATGTCCATGTTCTCGGCCGGCCAGTTGGAGATTACCAGCGACTACAGACCCAACCCGTGTTCCTTCTACATCTTGAACCTGGGCATCGATGTAAGTTGTGGCTTCTGCGGCCGTCCCGCGGCCCATGCTCCCGTGGATCACCCGCTAACGATGAGATGCTAGACGACTCTGGGGATTCCCATTCTCATCTTTATCCTGTACATCCTCAATCGGCTCGCCTCGTACACCCCTCTCGCCAACCCCCCCGAATCCATCCAGTCCGGAAACTATGGTCGCCCGCCCCGCGCGACCTGGTGGTTTAAGCAGTCGATGATCTACTTTGTCGGGTTGCTGGGCATGAAGATCTGTGTCTTCTTCCTCATCCAGCTGATCCCGTTCATCGTCAAGGTGGGCGATTGGGCGCTGCGCTGGACCGAGGGCAACCCGGGCGTCCAGATCTTCTTCGTGATGCTCCTGTTCCCGCTCATCATGAACGCCGTCCAGTACTACATCATCGATACCTTCATCAAGAAGCCCGCTCACCAGTTGGAAGAGGAAGAGAGTCGGGAACACGAGGCGTCCGGTGACGAGCGGGGTCCGCACGATGGCCTCTTGGCGGGGCTGGAGGATAACACGCTCGAATCGGACGACGAGTCGGGCAAAGATACCAGGCGGGATATGGAAAACTCCGCACAGGCCAAGGAGCAGTTGCCACGGTATGAGCACGAGGGCGACTACTTCTCAACGTCATCCTCCTCCGCCAACTCTGGTGCCGAGCACAATCACGGCCGACCGTCGCTATCGACAAAACCTGCCACCCAGCAGTAGGCCCCTAAAAAGAAGACATCAATCGACTGATGTCCACGCACTGGTTTTGCGAGTACGGGCGTTGGCTTGGATTCATTCATTTCGCTTATTGCTCATGCAAGTCACTTCACACTGGATGTATAGGTGCGGTGTGTGAAGTGTCAAAAATCATCCATTAGACGCAATATACATAGTCTGTTACATAGTTTCTGCAATTGTATACAATCGAGTCCGTTATTTTACGGTATTGATAGTACCTTGCATTGTACCCACCGCGGAACTCACCGCCCTTTTCTGCCGGGCGGGCGAAGAAAATTATTGTCGCCCACATACAATCCCAGATCTCTCATCTACCAGACCTATTCTCGCGGCCCTTGTCAAAATCTCTATCTCACTAAAGCGTACCAGTAACAGGACGCCCTCACAATGCCCAAAACAGCCCTCAAGCAAAAAACGCGCCAAAAGGCCAAAACCACCACGCGCTCGCCCTTCGAGCCCGGCCGGCCCGTCCACGACGACAGCGATGTCGAGATGGACGCCGCCGATGGCGACGACTCGGATGAGGTCCCTGAGAAGGACGAGGTGGAGGAGAAGCTGGAGCGGATGCTGTTTGGCGACGACGAGGGGTTCCATGAGGCGTTGAAGAATCGCAGTTTGGCGACGCTTGCCGTGGGGAGTGATGATGAGAGTGTTGGGAGTGGGGAGGATGGGGAGGGCGATTTGGAGGGGGTTGATGATGCTGATGTTTGTATACCTTTACCTGAGAGGGGGGCAAGTCTTGCTGGATGGGATCAGGCTGACGTGTTTTTTTTAGCTTTTCTTCCTCGATTCCGGCGCTGCGCCTGTGTCTACGGATCTCGCAAACCCAGCTACAGCCCTATCCGACGGAGAAGACGGCGCATTGACCGAGCCTGCCCTGTGGCACGATAGCGACGACGAGCGTCTGACAGTGTCTCTTGCGAGCCAGAACCGCCTGCGGAAGTTGCGCGTCGCCGAGTCGGAGGATGTGATCAGCGGGAAGGAATACGTCCGACGTCTGCGCAGACAGTTCCTGCAGCTGCACCCGACGCCCGAGTGGGCGAACCCGGAGCTGAACCAGCACGATTCAGACTCGGATCGCGAGATGGATTCGGACGACGAGGAGGCGCACTCCACGCAGCCGTTGGCGAAGCTGCTGCAGGGCGTGACGGATTTGACCAAGTTGGAGGAGCAGACGCACCCTGGCGGGAAGAGAAAGCTGCGTCAGGAGACGCTGGATATCCAGCGTTTGAAGGATGTCGGAAAAGATCAACCGGTATATTTTGCGCTTTACACGCGGTTCGAAATTGGATATGAAGCTAACAGGTATACTCAAGTCCTCTATCGACTCGCTCGCGTTCCACCCCCACTACCCCATCCTGCTGTCCTCCGGACCAGCAGCGACGCTCTTCCTGCACCACATTGCGCCGTCCGCGCCAGCCCCGAACCCCCTCCTCACGTCCTTCCACATCCGCCAGACGCCAATCCACACGTCGGCGTTCGCGCCCCCCACAGGAAACAAGATCCTCGCCTCCGGCCGCCGACGATACTTCCACATCTGGGACCTGGACACGGGCAAAGTCGACAAAGTCAACGGGACGGCGGACCGCAAAGAAGAGCAAAAGACCATGGAGCGATTCAAGCTCTCGCCCTGCGGCCGCTACATCGGCCTGGTGGGCTCCTCGCGCAAGGGCGGCGGCCTCATCAACGTGCTGAACTCCGGCACGGCGCAATGGATCGCGCAAGTCCGCGTCGACGGCCGCGGCGGCGTCGCCGACTTCGCCTGGTGGAGCGACGGCGAAGGCATGACAGTCGTCAGCAAGAACGGCGAAGTCTCCGAATGGGACGGATCGCTCAACCGCGTCGTCGCGCGCTGGACTGACGCCGGCGCCGTCGGCACAACGGTCCTCACACTGGGCGGCCGCTCCGGCCGCTCCGAGCTAGGCGGAGACCGCTACGTCGCGATCGGCAGTTCCAGCGGTGTAGTGAACGTCTACGACCGACGACCGTGGGCGGCATCTCTTGCCAAATCCTCCTCTTCTTCCTCCTCCTCAAACGAACCCACCATCCCGCGGAACCCGGAACCCATCCGCGCCCTAGACCAACTCACAACGCCCATCAGCCACGTGGTATTCGCGCCAGACGGACAATTCTTCGTGATGGCGAGTCGATGGAAGCGCGACGCATTGAGAATTGGTATGTTCTTTAACCCCTCCCTTCCTCACTTTCTGTATATAATATCCCCCCCGAGAAGGCTAGAAGCTAACAAAATAATGAAGTCCACCTCCCAAGCTGCACGGTCTACCGCAACTGGCCGACGTCCAATACGCCGCTGGGCCGCATTTCGTCAGTGGCCGTGTCGCCGAATTCAGAGCTGGTGGCTGTGGGCAATGAGCAGGGGAGGATCCGGTTGTGGGAGATTAGGGGGTAGATTTTAGACACTGGGTGAAGTGATAGATGGTGGGTGGTTGTTGTATATTGATATTGATATATGGGATCAGATGGATATGGGATGTGATAGGGTATGTGATAAGACCGGGAAAAGAAGAACAACAAAAGTAATGAATGATTGTATTATCTACTACGCATATAGATGGGTGAATGGATAGTTTGTACCTAGTCTATACTCAGTTAGTTTATGGACATACATGCCTATATACACAGACCCATTCCTCAGAAAAAGACATACTAGTTAACTATATACAATACTGGTCATCCACTGATCATGTACAGGGTATATCAATCCCAATACAGATAGATAATATTCAATATAAAATCAATCAATCAATCAATTCAGCAGCCAGTAAACCCAATGGGAGTTGAATTCCAAGACCGACATACATCCTATACTAGGTACCTACCTACCACGTAGAGTCTCCTCCCAAATAATAAATAAACAAATAGAATGATAAAGAATGATCAAGACTAACAATAGTATCCAATCCAATCCACCCACCCACCCACCATAAACCATATCTCGACTCCACACAATATATAGATAGACATATCGTCTAACCCCCCACCCTCTAGCAAACAAACAAGCATCACCACCAAGCTCCATGGAGAAAATAAGTCTCCGTGACAGCTACACAGCCCCCGACGGCGACGAATCCGGTTCGGCCGAGGCCGAAGCCGAGGCAGATGGAGACGCAGACGAGGATGGCGACGAGGATGACGAGGGGGTGGGAACAAGGCTGCCTATAGCGTCGGCGACGGGGCTGAGGATGAGTTTCTGTTTCGTTGGTGGTTAGATTGATTCTTTCTTTCTTTTAGGTTTGTCTGGTTTGTGGGTTGAGATGGATGGATAGGATGGATGGATAGGATGGATGGATAGGATGGATGGATGGGATGGGATGGGGACTTACGTCGATGCCGAGCTGTTGGTTTAGGTATTAGCATATTTACTTCTCTGAAGTGATATGTAGGGAGAGGAAGGTGTGTGAAACTTACTGCGTCCAGAAGCTATTCACCATAGCAGAAAACAAACAGTCAGTCAACTTAATCCAAACCACACCTGTATCATCCCACGAAGCCAACTGCAATATTTCACAGACGGCGAGAATATCCAAACAACAACTCACCGAATTATACCCCGGTTTCTACCACAATCAGCGTCTTTCTTCCTTGCTCATTTTGCAAAAAATCAGACAGTACATACCATATTTCCCTGCTCTCCACCTGAGCTCGACTGTCCTCCTGATTTCCCTCTTGATTGCGCTCCAGGCATAGCAGGCGCACTTCCGCCCGCGCCCCCTTCGTCGCCGCCTAGTTGGGGGAGGGCCATTGCTATGGCTGCGCACGAAGCCAGGAGTGAGATGGATAGTTTCATTTTGTCGTTATAGGTTGTAGTAGGTAGTATCTTAGTTATGCTTTGCGAATGTCGAACAAAGTAGAATAGAGTTGGATACAAGTAAGCAGAGGAAAAGTGTCAGATGAAGTACCCTCGTGGAAGACACATACATATGCTCCTAGCTCAGCATGCGTTATCGGAGAAAGTTCACGGAGTGAACCCTGATCATATGTCTACCTAGATAAGCTAGGAAGGTAGGGATGTGAGGCCCCTTGCTTCGGATTATTGAGTTGGGATTTTGAATCTGGCTGACGATGTCAGTACTCTCCCTGCCTTGTCTCTCCCTGTCTCTGGGAGATGAAACATGTCTGGGATTGTTCTTGCTGGGATGGTCTGGTTGATGTAGACCATAAGAGTGCAATGGGAGTGGTAGGTGGTTAACTTTGGATATGGTCTCTGAAGTCAAGGACTGTTTGTCTGTAAATTGAAGCAAAGTGGTGGTGCATTCTTGTTCCGCAGGAATGGGGCGTGAATCCGTTGGAAAGGTTGAATGTTTGGTGATTAATGAATAATTCGGAGCTATTCAGCTATTGCATCTAGGTTCTCATCTCGAGTTGTATAACTGTTTGTTACATGGTGAACCAGTCTATCCAGGCTGAAAGATAGCATGACGACTCGTCAGGGATATCCCCCTGTCCTTGGATCAACCTACTGTAACAATAGTCAGCTCACAAACAATGAATGAATGGAAGAAACTCCGATGCCTAACACCGGACCACGTACTCGCATAATATAATAGTAGCCTGTCAGAGGACCCTGAAACCCTGTATGGAATGAATCTAGTGCAATATGTAACTACATAGCTGATAGTCCCTGCGCGGTGACATCATGACGAGTTCAGCCGGCTGTTTTCAAATCAGCTGGAGGGGCAATCAATCATGAGGTGTAAACAAGAGGAAGTGATCGTCCTTGGATGCTGCAGTTCGCAGGCAGCTGCCAGGCTCAGAGTTCAACCAGACAAACTGACCATCTATTCCATGTTAGTAGACGCCAATGATGTACCAAGGAAAGTTTGCTAAGTAAGAAAGTATCAAATCATTGTATTCATAACATGTATATCCTTTTATATGCGCCTACTCAAGTGGTCTCGTCGAACTCCAAAGACGGATTAAATAAGCGTCTTGATCTCTTCCGTGTTCCGGATACCAGCCACATTACCGGCCTTGATGCGCTTCAGCGTCAGCGACGCAATCAGCGCCGCGCCAACACCCGACCCGTCCTCGGCCGCCATGATGACCACCTTGTCCTGCTCCGAGGGCGCCCAGTCCAAGATCTCACGCAGGGCCTGCGCGCCACGGGCCTGGAAGTGCGGGTACTTGGTGAACACCGAGCCGTCGGCGCCCACGTGGCACGACTGGATGTTCTTCTTCTTGCAGATCGCGGCCACACCGCAGCAGGACAGCCGGGCCGCGCGGGTCCCGATCAGCTCGGCCAGGCGGCGGATCATCTCCAGTTCGACCGCGGTGGGCTTGATGCCCAGCTTGCTCTCCATCAGGTCTGACGTCTCCTGCAGGTTCTCGTAGGGGTCCTCCTCGATGGCGGCGGGGAATGACGAGTCGAGCAGGTATGGCTGCCTCAGCTTGTCGGTGCTCTGGCCCTTGAAGATGAGGCCGGGCTGGTTGTCGACAAGGTCTAGGAGGGCCAATCGGAGGATCTCGCCCAGGTACAGACCCGCGGTCATCTTCTCGAACGCCTGCTGGCCGGGACGCGGGGATTCCCGGTCAATGATGTGGTCGAACTTGGTGAGCGGAAGGACGATGTGTTCGTTGTCGAAGGCCCCGTACTCGCAGTTGATGGCGACGGGCATGTCGGGGGGGAGGTTCATGTGGGCGAGCTTGGGCACCGAGCCGGCATCCTCCATGTAGGCCGCGTTGACGCCGGTGCCAAAGATGCAGCCGATCTTCATCTCGGGATCCGTGTAGGCCGAGGCGATGAGTGTTCCGGTGGTATCGTTGATCAAGGCAGCCACTTTAATCGGAAGGCCCTGTGGTGATGTTTAGTTTGATTCATGAAGCAAGAGAAGGCGAGATCGGTCGTACCCGCTTCCGCAAGACTGCCTCTAGCGGAGGAACCACATCTTGGCCCTCCACGCCGTCGATATCAAACCCCTTGGTCCAGCGCTGGAGAATGCCGTGGTCGATGTATTCCTGGGTCGCCGGGTAGGAGAAGGTGAAACCCAGCGGCAGCTTGTCGAGCTTCTTGTCTGCATGGTGGTGCTCGATAAACTCCTGGAGGCAGTCGCCAATGTACTCCCACAGTTGCTCGGCCGTACCGGTCCGTAACTCATCGGGCATGCGATATTTGGACTGGGTGATGTCGAACTTGCCCTTCTCTTTGGTCAAAGTGATTTCACAAACCCGCAGGTTGGTGCCGCCCATGTCGAGGGCGAGAAAGGTGCCTTCCTCATTACCGTCGGGGAAGCCCAAAACCCAGGTAATGTTCATGGGCTGATCTGTCAGCGGGGATTCTCTCTAGATAAGAGGGGATGTTGTTCCAGTCGTCCACTCACAATGTTACCACCCTCGACGGTGAGACCTAAACAACCAAATTAGCCAAACGGATGAGAAATCATCCTGTGGAAATTTGCACATACCCTTCTCCAGCTCCTTTTCAAAGTGATTGACAACCTCCTTCAGCTTGGCTGTATCGACGGTGAAGATGTCCTCAAACTCCTGAATGTGGGCCAGGAGGTTCTGGGGCACATCTTGGATGGAACCTGCCCGAAGTCAGCGAGGAAGCAGACAATTGAGACTGACATAACCTACCCTTGCGGGCAGGAGGAACCTTGGGACCGATTCCGACCATGATGCAGGAATTGCACTATACTGTGGAATGCGAAGGTGCCTCGTTGACGGAGGTGGGGTTGATCGTGTAGGTTCTCGAGGGATTGACGGGGAACCGGGGAGTGGGAGAGGGAGGATGTCACTCCGAACAAAAATATGAGGAATGAGGATAGAGAGAGAGAGATCTGAAAGTGAAATTGAAGAGATGTGGGAGGAGAAGCAAAGCAAGATACGAAGAGAGAAGAACAAGAATACTACATAAACATAAATGATATCACTCGCCGCGCTAAACCCGTCATGGTAACCAACGTGCCCCGCCATGATTTCACTCACCGAACTGCAGTTTGAGTATGCCGTATTGGTAATACTGTCTTCTATAAACCAGGCTATTGGGTTATAATCATCGTTCCAAGATAGCTGCATTGATCTGATCGTGAGGTCGGGAATCGATTAATATAGCTCGCTGTGTGGATGCCTGACTGCAGCCCTAATTCATCCTTGAGAACTCCATCCTTTCATATCTTCTAGGTATATCCATAGCATGACCAACCATTTCTACAGTAGCAACAAACAACAGAATAAACAGAATAAACAGAATCAAGAAAACGAAGAAGAAATCCAAATGAAATACAAAAATTATATCTAGCCAAGTCGTGTCGTCAAAATCAATAATGCTAGCAACATCTTCATACCGCCAAACGCCTCCCTGCAGCCCGTGTCCGATGATGGTTGGATCGTTGGCTCATATCACTGATGGCTTTTTATTCCGTCCCCGCGCCAGGTGGGGAAACACATGCGCCAGTCCCCCCACTCCGGTATCCTCCTCGTCCTCCGCTGCCCGCTTCTCCCGTCGGTCCTCGTTCAACTGTTGACGGTCGAGATGCTGCCGCACCCGTTGCTCATACGCATCGGAGATCCCCAGAGTCCGGTCCACCTCCTCCGTTAGGTGGTCGACTTCGTCGCGCAGCCGTTCGTCGCGGGTCGCGGGGGGCGCCATCTCCGCCTCGCGCGATTTCTGGTTGGGGTTGGTCGATTCCCACACCTGTTCCAGTTCAGACTCCCAGCCGAGGGCACTGGCCAGGCGCCGTACTCCGGCGTCGCAGTCTCCCAAGATCAGCACATCATCCGGCCGGGACCCCAGTCCCCCTACTCGTTCCATGTTGATGAGCACGCGCGGAACCCCGTCAGACACGAAGGACGGCAGACTGGCAAAAGGCTGGACCTGAAGGCTGGTACCCATGACGATGCACAGATCGGCCTCTTCAGGGAGAGAGCGGTTGTCGAAAAAGTCCCCCGGCAGTGCCTCGCCGAAGAAGACAATGTCCGGTTTCACCAGGCCGTTGCAGCGCAAGCAGGTGGGCACGCTTCCCTGGGCGATGGCTTCCTGCATGCGATCCTCCGGGTATTCGGCCTTGCAGTCGATGCAGTGCTGGGCGGCGAAGCTCCCGTGCGCCTCCACGATCACCTCCCCGGGTACCCCCGCCAAGCGCTCTAGACAATCAATGTTTTGCGAAAAGTGCTTCAGCAGAATGCCCTTGTCGTAGAGGAGCCGGATGAACGCATGGGCTACGGTGGGGCGGTATTTGCCGGGGGCCAGCTCCCGGGCCAGGGCGTAGAAGGGCCGGGGGTTTTGGCGGAAAAAGCTGATATCGAAGACGGCTTCGGGATCGGGCAGATCCAGATGAGCTAAGTTGGCGTAGATACCGGTATCTGGGGATCGGAAATCCGGAATGCCTGCCGAGGTGCTGATACCAGCGCCCACCTGGATTATAGCTCCATCAGCGGATGATCATACGGGAAACGGCTCTGAAACTGACCATGACTACCACACGGCGCACACCTTTCTCTTTGACGTACTTGGCCAGCGCCTCCACCGTCCGCGCCTCCAACACGGTCGGTGGGGTCTTCGCATCGACCATGGTCGAAGATTCGTTCCCCATGATGCGACGTGGCCGACCAGGTTTGGAGAACCTGGACTGCTGGTGTCGAGGTCTGCGACGGCGACCGATGGTGGCGGAAGAAAGAAAAAAAAAAGGAAAAGAACAGAAGAGAAACTAAGGATGGTCAAGGATATAAGAAGCCGATCTAATAAGCAGAATGGCAACAAGCAGCCGCAGCAATAAATGGAATCGAATATGTACAGATGAAGCAAGGAAGTTGTCAAAAGAGAGAAGTTGATTCGATGATAACAAAATGATGGAGATGCGAGGCGCGGTTGCTGCCTTGGGCATCTGTCATACTATAACGTCATCTCACTGTTCACATGTGGCTTCAATCTGGAGTATATTATTTCCCGGGATATCCTATACCTTGATTTGATCTTGCAAACAGAGATAGTATTCACATTTATATTTACATATATCTGTCTATTTTGTATTAATATCAAGGTCGATTGTAGAGTTATAGCTGCATACTCTTTCAGAACGTGAATCATTCATATTTCTGTCATATCCCTGCATAAATTATCAGCCTCACCGCCTTCCTCATTGATCTCAACGCCAGCTTGCTCCTTTATCTTCATTTCATCTTCCTCTTTCTCACACTCTCTATAGATCATTCCATTCTACACACTCCCGCTCGCTAATAAGGAGAATGTCCGTGTCCGGCGTCTCTCCATCAGTCAACGGACATGGCGCACCCGACATCTTCAACGCCAGCTCCGTCGCGGAGATCAGAGCCACCTTGTCGCATCTACACGACCAGGAAGCTTCAGTAACCGCTCGACTGGACGCCCTCGTGACCTCCCAGAAAGACTTCTCGCGCGAGTTCGGTCGATTGGATCTCCTTCGAGCCCATCTGAGCTCCCAGACGACCACCACCCGGACCGTAAGCCATGGCATGCTCTCCGACGCCGCTGCCACGGCCGATCGCATCTCGAGCGCCGTCCGCCGTCTGGACCTGGAACAGTCGCACGTCAAGGCCACACTGCAGGTCGTCGAACAGGTCTCGGAGCTCAAGGCCTGCGTGCTGGGCGTGTCCGGGTCCATGGGTGCCCCGCAGGACTGGGAGACCGCGGCTACCTACCTGAACCGCGCCTCCAAGATCCCCGATGAGGTCGTCCACGGGACCTTCGCCGCGCAGATGGTGCCTACCGCCGAGGTGCCGGATGCGCCGCACGTCACGCTGGAGAACGCGGCTGAATCGCTGTGTGGGCTCTTCCTGCGCGAGTTTGACAAGGCCGTCAAGGAGAGCAACGACGCCAAGATCACCCGCTTCTTCAAGCTCTTCCCCCTGATCGGCCGCTCCGAGGTCGGCCTGGACGTTTACGGCCGCTACGTGTGCCAGGGAGTTGCGTCGCGCGCGCGCTCTAACCTCAACGCGGGGTCCACCGCCCAGAGCAGGGACGGTTTCTTCTACGCCAATGCCCTTATCAAGTTGTTTGAGCACATCGCTCAGATTATAGACGGACATGGTGGCCTGGTGGAGCGCCATTACGGACCGAGGAAGATGAACCGGGTGATTGAGCGGCTGCAGGTCGAAGCCGATGTCCAAGGTGGCATCATCCTTGACACCTGGAGCGACGAGCGCCACATGGACCGCAAGTTGACTGAGACCAAGTCTTATGCGTTCACCTTCCTCGTGCAGAGCTTTCTGCCCCAGCGCAGCACCACCCCACGGTCTAGCTCTCCTGCTAGCAAGGACGGCGGTGTGGCGGCGGAGGACGAGGGAGTGGATATGAAAGAGGTTGATGGGGTTCTCAACGAGATGGCGGTCATGCTGGGCCGGTGGTCCCTTTACTGTCGTTTCTTGGCAGAGACGTGCAATGTAAGTAACCGCCTTCCCCTCCGCTTCTACTTTGGGAGAAATCTGACAGGTAATAGGGTACGGAAGAGGATGACCAGAGGTTCACCGCTCCGCAATTCCTGCAAGAATCGAGTCTTGCCAGGAAGGTCAACGACCGGTTGGTGTCTCCATTCAACACGATGACAACATTCTTCTTCCGGCGGTCCGTCGAGAAGGCCTTCCAGCTGGACGAACAGCCATCCGGCTTGACCCTCCAGCCCCAGCGGCCACTAAAGGCCGATCCGCCGCACATCACCTCGGCCGTCGACGACATCATGTACATTGTCAACAAAGTCCTCCAGCAGTCGCTGGCGACGTCGCAGATCGGGGTCGTCACGAACGTGGTGCCCACCCTGTCGCGGGTGCTCGGCTCCGACTTCATCGGCATGACGCAGCGCAAGATGCGCGACGAGTGCTACCCGCGGGCACCGGTGCAAGGCGCACAGCCCCCCGAACACCTTCTCATCCCGTTCCTCGTCCTCATCAACAACCTCGACATAGCAGTCGACTACGTCCGGCGAATCGTCCAGAACCACACCGAAGCCAAGAAGCGAATCACCGGGCCAGACGGGCAAACAGAGGAGTCAGAGCCCCTGCGCGCTCTCTTCCCGGTACCAGCCGACGCGGCCCTCGCCCTACGGACCCTCCAAACCATGTCGTCCTCCTTCGAATCCAAGGCCACCGAGCTCCTCTCCGACGGCATCCAAGTAGTCTTCAACAACGTGGTCAAGAACCGACTCCGGCCAATCCTCGCCGACGCCTTCCGCGACATCGAATACCAACCGGGCAACGACCGCGACCCAACAAGCACCGCCTACCACGAGTACGACCAAGACCATGACCACGACCACCACGACACCGGTCACAGCAGCGGAGACACCAACAGCCGGGCAGAACTAGTGCGCCCACGCTTCGCCAACAGCTGGACCGAGCTCCTCCTCCCGGTGTCTCGAATCCTCACCGCATCCGCCTTCGACCGCCTCCTAACAGTAACAGTCGCGTACCTCGCACGACTGCTCGAAAAGCGCCTCTGGTCCTACCACGGCCGGGTGAACGCGCTAGGCGCGACACGACTCGAGCGCGACGTATCGGGCGTCGTCAGCGCAGCTGTAGACGTAGGCGGCACGCACGGCACGCCAGGCCGGTACAGACACCGGGAGGCGTTTGCGCGGTGCACGCAGATGGCGCTGGTGGTGGGGATGGACGAGGACGAGTGGGATGATGTGCTACGAGGGGGGGAGACAGCTGAGGTGGTTGATAAGTTGAGTGCGGAGGAGAGGGTACGGGTGAGGGGGATGGTGCGGAGGTAGTATACTCTATATTATAATATTCAATAGATTTGATTACGTTTATACTACAATCTTGCATCTATACTGGATCCAATCCTGGAACCCGAAGTTGGTTAACTTACTGTCACTGGTTAGTTAGTTAAGTGTAGATGATGAGTAATATATTACTAACCAACACCACCCGATAAGCTAACACCACCACCATAACCTACCGGACCCTCACCCACCTACAGCTACCAGCTACCAGCTACCCAGCTAGCTACCCACTCCAACAAAACCAAACAACCAAACATGGCCAACCTAACCTAATCACCCACCACCCACCCATCAACCCAAGAAAGAGCAACAATAAGAAGCAAGCGTGATGGCAGACCGCTCCGAGCGCCGCTCACGCTCACGCTCACGCTCACCCCCCCGCCGCCCAAAAGCCCAAAGCAGCGGCGGATTCCGCTGGAAAGATAAGCGCGGTAGCAGCAATACCAACAGCAACAGCAGAGACGATGGTGCAAGTCGCGGGCTAGATAGGGGGTATCATCGGCGCGATCGATCTCGCTCTCCGGTACGGTCTCGTCGACGGTCGAGATCTCGCTCGCCCGCAGGATACAACAACAAACCCACCTCATCCAAACCCAACCCAGAGGAGGACGCCAAATCCAAATCCAAACACGAAAACGAAACCCCCGCCGAGCGCGAAGCGCGCAAACAGCGCAAAAAGGAAAAGCGCGCGGCGGCGGCCGCCGCCGCCGCGGGACCCCCGCAAGCGATGATAATCGTGCACGTCAACGACAGACTCGGCACGAAGACGTCCATTCCGTGTCTACCGTCTGATACGATCGGGGATTTCAAGGCGATGGTGGCGGCTCATATTGGGCGGGAGCCGAATGCGCTGCTGTTGAAGAGGCAGGGGGAGCGGCCGTTTAAGGATTTTTTGACGTTGGAGGATTATTCGATTTCGAGTAATTGTCAGTTGGATTTGGAGGTTGGGACGGGGGATTAGTCTTCTTTTTTTTTTCTTCTTTTATGGATTTAGTTAGGGGTTCGGTGGTTTTACTTTTTTTCTTTTCTTTTTCTATTGTGATTACTATCTATTATTATACTATTTTGATGTATGTGAATGTCGGATTACTTCAAATACTGAAATTTAGTATAGTATAGTATATTATCATGTCTACAGTGGTATCAACCCAACCTATGTACAAACCAAACGCCAATCCATAATAGATCATACATGCAATATTGGCACAGCCAATGACACGCTGGATATTCGAAAGAAACATAAAAAAAAAAAAGGAGAAAGAATCACTCCGTCTTCTCCGGCATAGCAGGCTGGACAGGCGGCGGCTGAACAGGCTGGACAGGAGGCTGCGGTTGAGGCGGCATGATCTTCACCTCCTGGATCTGGGAATCACCGGAGCTGCACGCCCGGCTGTGGAAGCCGACCGGCGGGTGTCCGTCGAGCATCATCGAGCTGTGCTCGCCGATGCCGTAGCGGGCGGCAGCCGGGATGTGGTGGCCGTCCTCGAGCTGCTCCTGCTTCTGCGGCGTCCAGGCCAGGTAGTCACGACGGACCTCGACGTAATCGTAGGCGAACTCGCCCAGCTGGTCGTCGTCCATGCCCAGCAATTCAGCCTCCTCGGACGCGCGCAGCTTCAACCCAGGAATGGCGTTGATGGCGTAGGCGATGATGGCGGAGACGACAAAGGCGTAGGCGCACGAGGCCACGATGAAGGCGATCTGGATGTACAGTTGCTTGTAGTTGTGGATCACCCAGCCTCCGGTGCCGGACCCGGTGTTGACGCCGTCCAGACCGACGATGGCGTCGTCGGCGAAGAGGGCGTTGAAGATCAGACCGACGATGCCGGCGACGCCGTGTTCGGCGAACACATCCATGGAATCATCGATGCGGATCCAGAATTTCACTATTGCTGTCAGTCTCCATATGACCGCTACTATGATGAAGAGGAACATACCCTTGGTGGCATAGTTACAAACAATGCCAGTAACAACACCCAGGATAACACTCGCCCACGGAGTGATGAAACCCGAAGCCGGGGTGGCAGCAACCAACCCCGAGATGGTGCCGGAACACCAGCCGACCATGGACCACTTGCGAGCCAGACGCCAGTCGAGAATCACCCAGGCCATGGCGGCGAAGGCGGCGGTCAGGTTGGTGTTCCAGCAGGCCATGGCAGCGCGCAGGTTGGCGCCAAAGGCGGAGCCGCCGTTGAACCCGAGCCAGCCGAACCAGAGGAAGACGGTACCCAGCACGATGAGGGAGACGTTGTGGGGGCGGAAGTTGAGCATCATGCGTTCCTGGCGACGACCCAAGACCATCGAATAGGCCAGGGCGGTCATACCGGAGCAGATCTCAACGGGGCCACCGCCGGCGTAATCCAGCACCCCGTAGTTGTAGGCCCAGCCGTTGACGTTCCACACCCAACAGGCCATGGGACAGTAGACGATGGTGGCCCAGACGAAGATGAAGACCATGGCGGGGAGGAGACGGCCGCGTTCGGCGACGGAGCCCATGACGAGGGCAGCGGTGACGGCGCAGAATTGCATCTACCATGGTGAGTATTGGTCGTGGAGAGAAAGAGAGATATATCTTGTCATACCTGATAAAAAGCGTAGAGCAAGGTGGGAACCAGGGCGGAACCCGGACTGGGAGCGCCCAAAGTCTTCATGAGACCAAAGTGCTGCAGATCGCCGATGTAGCCGTTGGTGGCGGAGGGGGAGAAGGCGAGGGAGTAGCCCCAGAAGTACCACTGGAAGGTGACGACGGAGAGGGAGGCCATACAGGCCCAGATCATGCTGAGGGCGGACTTTCGACGGGCGAGACCGGAGTAGAGGAAACCGAGGCCGGGGACCATACACATGACCATGGCGGCGGAGATGATGATGTAGGCCTGATCACCGGATTGATACCATTTGTTTAGGTTTTCGACGCCTGGATGGTTAGCCTCCTTGATGAGCGTATCGTGAGTCACGCGTCAGAACTTACGGGAGTCACCGCCGAGTTCGTTGGTGGCCAGGTTGGCATAGTCGGAGGGAGCACCGGTCCAGTTGTACGAGGCATATTGAGGGATGTAGGGGGCCTTGACGTCGGCCATGACGGTTCTTCTTGGATTTGGTCGTTTGGTTTTGTGAATGAATCACCACCGCCCAGAGTACGGGTCGGTGTCGAGGCAGGAGTCGATGTCGATGTGAAATTGATATCGAGGTTGGACGGGAAGGGATTGGTTCGATTGAGTCTTGATTGAGCTTTGAGAGTCTTGGATGAGTCTTCGGTTGATGTTCAGGTGAATGATCGAGGAGGTGGCAGGAGAAGGATGCAAGATAGATGAGCTCCGCAACGATGTGGAGAAGAAAAGGCAGACGGGGAGGTCGAGGTATATAAAAGACGAGAAAGGAGCCAAGCGGTTGGCTTTTCTGGAGTGGGCCTCAGGTGGGCAGAGGGATAGGACGAATGGGAGGAGTAGAAGGGTGTTAGAGCATCGATCAGCGGGGAGATGTGGAGATGACTATTTTTTCTCTCTTGTCTTCTTGTCTTTTTCTTCTTGTCTTTTCTTCTTGACTCTTTTTCTCTCTTGATTCCCGGAGTCAATTGCAATTGAGAGAGGAAACGGGGAGTGAGTACTTAAGAAAGTACTTGAGAGGGAGTAAGAAGAAGAGGAGAAAGAGAAGAGAAGACAGAAAGAGGAGAAGACAGACGGAAGAGAAGCGAAAGTGAGGGAGGCGCGGCAAAGGAATGAACTGAATCGGAAAAATCCAAGAAAATAATGAGACTGATAATCAGATAGAGAGAAAGATAGACAAGATAACAAGCAATTGGAAAATCAAATAGAATAAAATAAACTCGGCCTGGGCAGCGGCCAATCATGGTCCAGCCCCACTGCTTATCTTGGATTCTTTTTTCTTTTTTTCTTTTTCTTCTCGTTTCATTCCCTTTGGGTTTCTTTTAATTGAGTTGGATGAGTTGATGAGTTGGATGATTTGATGAGCTGGATGAGATTATACTTTCTTTTTCATCCTTCTGGCATTCATAGCACTCACTCTATTCTTTCCTTACAGAAGTACTCGAGATACGAGGTCGTAAAAGACTCCGACTCCATCGTGGCAAATGGATCCGACTTTTCCCATCCGGGTCAAGACTGGATGGAAGTCTCTTACTGCCGATACCGCTCGTGGCGATTCTCTCGGTAGGATCCATTTTCTATAGTCAATCAGGATCATCATTATAATCATCAATATAATGATCCTGATCATATCGATCGAATATCATAAAAGTATGAGGAAAGTCCACTCAGGAGAGTTGGATCCATATCAGTCCATAGTGTCGGGACCATTGAGTATAGTTTGAGCGATGAAACAGTATGAAACCGAAACTATTGATTAGTTTGGTTGACACTGTACTATTTTCTGACTATTCTGACATCGAGCTAAACTGGAGACAACTGACCTGTATTTATATTCTCGTTTCTAATGGTATGTGGGTGCTCTATCTGATAGATAGATAAGTGTCCATCCTATCTACTACCTCCTAGTAACTGTAGTAGATAGGTAGATAGCCTGGTAGGTAGACCTACCTACATACCTACCTACCACTACCAGAGGTATAGGTAGAGCCACGATAGAGAGGAATAGATACCTACGTTGAAAAGGAAGAGATGATTGGATGAGAACCCCCGATAAGGTCCCAACGCCACTGCCAGCCAAGTGGGTCTGGAACTCCACCGGCCAGTGGATCGGAACATGATGGTCGATCGGCAATGGGAGGCTCTGATAACGACGCCGCTCGGGAACCAATCACCCTCCACTTGTTTCCTGTCTGTTCCGACCGGTTCGGGATTTCTAGGAGCTTATCTCTACCTACCTAGGACCTACTGACTATGACTCTACCTCTCTACCACTACTACCTACCTCAGCTACTACTACAATATCTACTAGTAGGATTACATCAGTTAATTCCCAATTATCATAATAATTAATTAAATATAGTAATGAACATAGTAATAAACATAATAAAATTACATACCCATAATATATACGTAAATCCACCACCCCTGGACCCTTATCATCCCCCACCAGCCAATCACATTCCTCCTCTCCACACTACCAATCCCTTGACATCCATGCCACTATTAAATCATGATAGGTTTCATACCTCCTACTCAACACTTCAGCTACCACTGTAGTTAGTACCTAGGTACGACCTCCCAACTAGGTAATTAGCTCATACAACCTACTTAACCAGTGGGTCACGGTCCTTCTCATGGATTCTCTCGTGTCCTTGTGGAATCAGTCCCACGCAGTATGGATATGATATACCACGTGCATACCTAGTATGACATGAGGGAAAGCATACAGTGACTGATTAAATGATGTCACTTGTCATACATACTTAATAATTATTCCTCTCATCTGGTTCTCATTAATGGGGTACTACAGGGATATCCCCAACAATACCAAGGTAGACCTACAATGAAATATATATACTTAGTATACTCCGTCGCCCTAATATACACCACCATCACCACCACCACCACGTCTACACATCAACCCCACATACCAACACCCCAGCTAGTCTCGATTCCATACCCACCGGTCTATCCATCTTATCAGCCACCTAGTACATACCTAATGCACTACCCAGTACCTACCTACTAAGACCCCCTCTCGTAAGTGGGGCGCGTCCCCGAGAGACCGGTACAGACACAATCTAGGTCTGATATGATGCCATGTTCGGATGGGACTAATCCTGCAGCAAGGATGGAGACTACTTAGTGTGCGGGGAGGGAGGATCCATCGATTGATTGACGATCCATTGTCTCGACCATTCCGAAGAAGTAAGGTGCAAGGCTAACATAACGTATCTCCATTATTTATTATCATTCATATACAACCGCTATGCACCGATTCTTCTTCTTCTTCTTCTCCCCCATCTATACAGGAATATACACCAGAAACTAAGCTAAACATTCATACTATACCCAGCTCCCACAGTCCTCCTCCGCTGCACAACGCGATAATACTTCCTCGCCTCGTCGACCCAAAACACTGAACTCGAGATACACACCAACTTGAACAGATGCGCTACATTCAGCGCCTCCGTCTGGAACACTCTCTGCAAGAACGGCAGGTAAATCACGCACGCCTGGCCCGCGAGGGATCCCAGCACCGCGTAGTTGAACATCTTGTTTCCGAAGAGCGGCAGCTCGCCGCGCAGCACGGACTTGCCTTCGCTGCGGCATGTCAGCGCGTTGAACATGTCGAAGAGCACGAAGCACGTGAAGGTCATGGTTGTGTCGTGGGCTGTGACTACCCGGGACATTTTTCCGGGGGTGACGCCGTCGTCGACGTCGCCCATCTCGTAGACGTAGATTGCGAGGGTTCCCAGCATGATCATGAATGCGGAGGTGAGGACGCGCCGGATGAGGGGCTTTGTGAGCACTCGTGCCGTGCGCGGTCGGGGCGGTCGGTGCATGATTGATGGGTCGACGGGCTCGACGCCGAGGGATTGGGCGGGGGGACCGTCCATGAGGATGTCTGTTGGGGTTAGCTGTGATGTTAGAATGCAGGGGGGGGGGATGGTCACGTACTGATCCATAGGATTTGCATCGCATTTAGCGGGTTCTTGAAGCCTAGTGTCGTGCTGAGCAACACCAGACTCAACGCCGCCACGCTGGTGCTCAGCTGGAAGGTGATGAAGTTCTGGATGTTGTAAAAGATGCCCTTGCCCTGCTCGATCGCCCGCAGGATCGTCGAGAAGTCGTCGTCCGTCAGGATCATGTCCGCCGCTTCCTTGGCGACATCCGTGCCCAGCTTGCCCATCGAGATGCCGATATCCGCCTTCTTCAGCGCCGGCGCGTCGTTCACCCCGTCACCAGTCATGGCCACCACGTCTCCGCGCGCCTGCAGCGCGCGCACGATCTTCATCTTGTGGTCTGGACTCGTGCGCGCGAAGATCGCCGTCGACGCGATCGCCTGCGCCAGCTCCTCCGTGTTCATCCGGTCGATATCCTCCCCGTTCATCACCTGCCGCGACCCCGGCGTGTCGTTGACCGGCATCCCCAGTTGCTTGGCGATGGCCACGGCCGTCGTCTCCGCATCGCCCGTGATCATGATGATCCGCACTCCGCCTGCCATGAGGCGCCGGATGGACTTGTGGACGTCCTTTCGTGGCGGGTCGTTCATCCCCACCAATCCAGAAAAGACCAACCCGTTGTACTGGTCGTCGTTGTCACTGCCGCTGCCACTGCGGCTGGTCCCCGAATGGGGCGTGGCCGATCGGCTGCCAAGAGGGCGTCCGCGTGATAGGTCGCGCACCGCTCCGCTGGCGAAGGCTAGCACGCGAAGTCCTTCAGAGGCCATCTGCTCGGCGGCGTGTCGCACGGCTTGACGCCGGGGCTCGTCCAGGATGACTTCGCGCCCGTCCTTGGTCAGGTACGTGTCGCACCGCTTCAAGACCTGCTCCAGAGCGCCCTTGATGTATGCAATGTTGGTGCCGCCGGGCGAGGCCAGCGACATCGAGTCACCCGGCGTGCCGCTGCCGATGATCACACCCATCCACTTCCGTTCCGAGCTGAATGGCGTCTCCGCCACGCGGGCGCAGATCCGATCGCGCACGTCATCCTCCCCGAAAGTGTCGAGAAGGTCCAGAATCGCCACGTCGGTGGGTTGGCCGACCCATCGGCTGCGGATGGACCCCGACGCCCGGTCGTCCGTGGAGGACAGCACGGCGGCGGACGAGGCGCTGGCGGGGGAGTTCGCGTGGACCCGCGAGAGCCGGGCGTTGTTGGCGATGTTGCCGACCCGAAGGATCGTGCGAGCGGCGGGCCCCGGCGTCAAGGAGCTGATGTCGTGGTGGACTTCGAACGGATCCGCGCAGTCGAAATGCCACATCTTGGTGACCGTCATGTGATTCATGGTGAGGGTCCCCGTCTTGTCGCTGCAGACGACGTTGACCGAGCCCAGCGTCTCGACGCTGGGGAGACGCCGCATGATCGCCCCCCGCTTGGCCATGCGCAGCACGCCCAGGGCGAGCGTCACCGTCACGATGATCGGGAGGCCCTCCGGGATCGCAGCGACGGCGAGGGACACCCCGATGGTGAACATGTCCAGGATCTGTCGGCCCTGGATCAACCCGATGACCATGATCAGGGCGATGACGCCAAAGGAGACGTAGCTCAGTTCCTGACCCAGACGGTCCATGGACACCTGCAGGGGCGTGCGGGGGCTTTCAATCTCTTGCAGCGAGGCCGAAATGCTGCCGAACTCGGTCTTGGCGCCGGTTCCGATGACGATGCCCTGTCCGTATCCGGACCGGACCAGGGTGCCCATGAACGCGATGTTGTGTTGTTCGTTCAACCGGATATCCGCGCCCACGGCGCCGGTGGCGGGGGCGTCGTAGAACGGTGATCGAGGCGGGCTGACGATCTTGGGCTCATGCACTGCGAGGTTCTTCGGGCTCCGGACCGCATGGGGGTACTTGACGACGGGCTCGTTCTCACCCGTCAGATTCGACTCGTCGACCGTCAGGTCGGTGGCCGTCGTGATCCGGATGTCGGCCGGGATTCGGTCCCCCACCGCAAACAGGACCAGGTCCCCGGCCACGAGTTCATTGGCGGGGACGGTGGAGGCCGCCTTGAGCGCCGCCGAGGCCGCCCCAGGGCTCCGGCTTCCCACTTCCTGCATTTCCAGCTCCTCAACGGCGCCGGTGGGCGCGGTTGGGTGGGCCACCACGGGCGTGTCCGGGGTAGGAATGTCGCGGATTAGATGCGCGTGGTGTGGGACGAGACGGCTCAATGCTTCTAAAGACTTCTCCGACCGATACTCCTGGATGAACCCCACGGTGACAACGATCGTCACGGCAAGCGTAATGCTGACGGCATCATCGTAATTGCCCATCAAGAAGGAGATGGCGGCGGACGACAGGAGCAGGAGGATCAGGGACTCGCGGAACTGTTTGAGAAAGCGAAGCCATAGGGGTTCCGGTTCTTCGTGGGGGAGTTCGTTCGGTCCATCTCGTAAATATCGGATCTCGGCCTCGACCGGGGTGAGGCCATGAAGGAGGGAGGTTTGAAGGCGCTCGGCGGTTTCCTCAGGGTCTAGCAGCGAGTATGTCGAGGTGGAAGTCTAGTCGGGGAGTAACCGCCTGGTTAGTACACGTAACAGAGGCCACGGAGAGGTACTAGGCCGGACCGCACTTACAGACGGAGACGACGAGCTCGCCAGTCCGGCGGGAGTGGTCGAACGCGGTCTTGGGGAAGCCTGAGCATTATGCAAAGGGAGCGCAGGCGTTGCGGATCTTGACATCTCTCATGCTTTGCCGAAAGGGAATCAGTCTGCCAATTCAGACACCACCCGGTATCATCCCGTCAAGCTGGAGTGGGACTCGAATGCGAAGAAGCTTTTGTTGAGCTCGAAAAAGCGCAATCCAGGTAGGAGGGGGAGGGAGGGAGATAGGGAAAGGAAAAAAGACCAGGCAACACAATCGAATCAAAATCAAGTCTACAGGAAAAATCAAAGATCCGGGCAAGTGAGATTGCGAGACGCCACGTTCTCAGATGCGACCAGGCTGCAGATGCATCAAATAAGAGTGCAGGGAAGAGGGAGACTAAGAAGACGTGGACTCTGGTCCAGGGTCTGGAAGGCGGCAAGACTGTCCGTAATTAGCCGCTGTAAACAAGCGGAGCTTCTGAGGCGGACGATGCAAGGAGGGAGTCGACTATAATGCGGAAAAGAAGCAGCAATGCAGTGGCAGGGTGATCAATCTCAAGACAGAAAGATGGAGAGAGCTAAACAGGAGATGGACGTTGGATGTTGGAAGTTCTATACATCGAAGTTCCAATCTTGACAGCCTGACCTCAAGCAGCCTTGATGCCTCGCTGCCTGGCCGGGGAACACTAGTCCAGATGGAGACTAGCACCGGGATATATGTTAACCCGAGCTGTCCGCATCGGGTCTAGCGTGTATACTACACGTGACCCCAACCACCACATAACCGACCAATCACAGCCAGACAGTCACGCGGGAGGCTGGTCCGCCTGGGCAACCTGGCAACCATTCTTTACCATACCGTACCGTACGGTCAGACGCGCTGCATTCTGTCTGAAACCTGAGGTTCTCACCACCACAAACGGCCGCTTCTCCTTCTCCCACTTCCCAAACTCTCTCCCAGCCAACCACCCCATTTACCACCAACAACAACCCCTCTCGCTTGGCTTCTCCTGTCCCTCCGTGTCCACCCAAACCCTCGCGATTTTTGGTGGGTCCTTATCGAATTCGATTTCTTCACCTTCGACTACGCGACTTGTGGGTGTTTTATTTTTTTGGGATCGTGATCGTTTGACGCATTAGCCGTCATCATCAAAGAGGGTCCTGTCGGCGATCCCTTTTTCTGTTGTCAGCATCCGGCGCGTCATCACACCGGCGTTGCTAGGGACTCCTCCACCGACCCCCAGAACACCCCGCGTTGGGCGGGTTCTTTTGGATTGATTTCGTTGGATGCGAGTGTTCTTGGTCGACCGAGACCCAACTCATCACCATGTTCTATTCCGAGACCTTGCTGTCCAAGACGGGCCCCTTGGCCCGCGTCTGGTTGTCTGCCAACCTGGAGCGCAAACTGTCCAAGTCGCATATCCTGCAGTCCGATATCGAAGGGAGTGTCAGCGCCATCGTCGACCAAGGACAGGCCCCGATGGCCCTGCGACTGAGTGGCCAGCTGCTCCTGGGTGTCGTGCGGATTTACAGCCGCAAGGCGCGCTACCTCCTGGACGACTGCAATGAAGCGCTGATGAAGATCAAAATGGTGAGGATCACCATCGCGGAGCTGTGGAATAGAATCGTTTGCTAACTCTGGGCTAGGCGTTCCGATTGACGAATAACAACGATCTGGCCACCACCGTGGTGGCCCCGGGTGGCATCACGCTCCCCGACGTGCTGACCGAGTCTGACCTGTTCATGAACCTGGATTCGTCCCTGCTGTTGCCGCAGTCTCTCAACCTGGAACCCGAGGGAAAGCGACCTGGCTCGTCGATGGATTTCGGCAGCCAGCTGCTCCCCGACTCTGGCCTCCGCCGTTCGGCCTCCCAGGAACCCGCACGCCTCGAAGATCACACTCTGGTCGACATCGATATCGGAGAGGATGATACCCCCCTGGCCGTGGACTACAGCATGGAAATGGGTCGAGATGCGCCGGCCCCCCGCCCCGTCGAAGAGGATCTGTTCAGTGACGCGGGCAAGTTCAACGACGTCGACCTGCCGCTGGACCTGGGCGAGGACGATGCCCCCCTCAAGATGGACCTCGGCACCGATGGCCTGCAAGACAACCCCTTGCTGGACGATGCGATGGATCTCGGAATGGATGCGGAGCCGATGCTTGACGGGCTGGACCACCACTCCGACGGCGACGACGAGAGTGTTATGACCGAAATGCCCGAGGAGGAGATGACGAACATGGAGCGGGAGGTTGCGCGCCAGGGCCAGGACGACGAGGACGTGCGCGAAGACGAAATGGAAGAGGAGGACGACGAGGAGGTTGTCGCCCAGGAAGCGCAACGCGCCAAACGACGGAAGGTGGTCCTCATGGGTCTGGACGAGCACACCGACTACAACCGCAGCGAGATGAAGGAGCTGCAGGCCGATCGCACCAGCATCCTGAAACCAGCATCCTTCTTGCCCCGGGACCCCGTCCTGCTTACCCTGATGAACATGCAGAAGAACGGCGACTTCGTGTCGAACGTGCTCGGTGGTGGCCGTGGCCGTGGCTGGGCCCCCGAGCTGCGCGATCTGCTATCTTTCGACGCCGTCAAGCAGGCCGGTGAGCTGAAGCGGAAGCGGGACAGCGGGATCGCGGACATGGACATCCAGGCGGCCAACGCTCCCGCCCTGGACCTGGGCGATGAAGAGGCTCTCGTCCCGGTGGACGAGGGTGTCGGCATGGACTCGACGCTGCACCCGCGGTCGGAGATCGAGTTCCCCGGAAACGAGGAGGACCGGGAACTGCACCTGAGCGACGACGACGCCATGGACCACGCCGGGGAATCCTTCGACGACACCATCCAACCGGCAGACAGCGGCCCGGTCTCCCTGGGCACCAAGCATGCCGTGCACGTGCTCCGCGACCGCCTGGGCGAATCCGCGGCGGACCAGAAGAAGAGCGTCAAGTTCCAGGACATCCTCCCCGAGCAAAAGGCGTCCAAGGCAGATGCCACCAAGATGTTCTTCGAGGTTCTGGTGTTGGCGACCAAGGATGCCGTCCAGGTCGATCAGCGTCCGGACAAGGTCGGCGGCCCGCTCAAGATCCGCGGCAAGCGTGCTCTCTGGGGCGCCTGGGCCGAGGAGACTGGCAGCGGCGAGAACGAGTCGACCCAGGTTGTGTAGATGGTGACGGTTTTTTCTTCCTGTACAGATGTTTGATTTGATGTTTCCCCCCTCTGTTGTGTCTTCTTTTCTTTTCTTTTTTTCCCCTGGATTGTATGTCTCTGCTTTCGTTGTATCTGGGATGCGGGTCATTTATTTTTACTTTTGTTTCAAATTCCCGGTGTTTGGGTGACTTGTTTAGGGCTTTGCAACGAAAACCTGGCGGCTCAGCTGCTACATTGGTTGTTGGGATTGATTTCCTTCGATGTTTTTCTTTCGGTGGATTGTGATAGGAGGGATATGGGGATGGACTTAGTTAGCTTTATTACTTGGGTAGGCACTACCTTGGTAGTCAGTACTATAGACGTGAATAATGGAATCGATGAGTGGACTGACATATCATACTGAAGTATAGAAGTATAGAAGTAGAAGTATATCATTGTCAGAATTAATGCAATTAAGGTTCCCACGTGGGTGACGCCATTCCGGGAATTTTCTTTCCCACATGGATCATGCATGAATGAACGGCAATCAGCTAGTCCATCTCTCCATATCTCCAGCAGGAATGATGTCTGGTTAAGTTAAAGCTAGCTGAACCGGTTTATTCGGATCCATCCACTAAGTCAAAGGATTCGGGGTCACTATGACTAAAGGTACGACTCCAACGTCTGGACTATCGGCTGTCGGTCCTCTCAGATGCCGAGTCGTGCTTGTACTATGTATGAATAATGGGTCCGAGCTGTCATTAGTACTACCCCTCCCAGAATTATTTCTTTCTCCTCTCTCATGCTGATCACTTAATCCTCAAGTGGTCACTGATTTCTTGTCTTATAGCTCTGCGCTTGACTGGACTGGTTAAGCTTTGCTGGATTCCGGAATCCCCGCCAACTCCGAGGTGCTACGGGGTGCGGGACGATCGTTCATGATCCTAAATCAACGTCCCATAAACTCAATTCGGTCTAAAAAACATCAGGAAATTTTCACGGAAATAGGGGAGGGAAAGGAAGTCCCGCCTGGAACTGAACGCCGTTTGAGTCCGTCAAGTCTAGTCCACCATGTCCGCAGCTCCGCACGCCTCGTCCCCGCCGGGACAAGCATTACCCACTCCAGCGGACATGCCCGTTCCAGCAGACAGCCAATCCACAAGCGACTCAAAGAGCGACTCCGAAGACAGCACGCGAATCAATTCCCCGGAGCGAGGAGAGGGTGACGCAGCCTTCGAGCCCATCAGTACTCCGCACGCCACCCATGAAGACCGCATGCAGAGGCTCCACTCCGCGTCGTCGCGGCCCCTGGAGCGCAGCTGGTCGTTGAATGATGGGTATAGCTGCAACACGGGCGACGAGCGGGTCAGCGAGAAGTCACCGGATGAGGAAGAGGATGTGGATGCTATGGCGGCTGATTTTACCGTCGACTGGGACGAGAATGACCCGAGCTGTCCGCGGAATTTCAGTAAGCCGAGACGGTGGTTGATTGTGATCATTTGCTCGTTGGGGTCTCTCTGTGTGTAAGTTGATGGTGATTTATCTAGGACTTTTTGGATTGGTGTCTGATGGTGTGCAGGACGTGTACGTCTTCGATGTATACTATGACTTACGACCAGCTTACGGAGGAGTTCCACTGTTCCCGGTTGGTCGCGACGTTGGGACTGTCGTTCTTTATCTGGGGACTTGGTGAGCTTGCTTATTGATCTACTTTACTCACTGCTCGAACTAATATAAACACCTGCAGGTCTTGGTCCGCTGTTTTTGGCGCCCCTCTCAGAGGTAAGCACATCTTCTTCGAAAAGGCGGGAAGGAGAACATCCCTAATGTGTCTCAGTTCTATGGCCGACGGAATATTTACATCATCTCCTTCGCCTTTTTCTTGATTTGGTTGATTCCGTGCGCTGTGGCTCAAAATACTCAAACAATGATCATAGCCCGTTTCTTCAATGGGATTTCTGGGAGTGCCTTTCTTAGTGTTGCGGGTGGTACTGTTGGTGATCTCTTTGCTCGCCATGAACTCAGTGCGCCCATGATGATTTACACGGCTTCTCCGTTTGTTGGGCCTGAGGTGGGACCGCTGTATGTTCTACTTATCTTCTCTACGTTGAATTACCGTGGCGTTGCAGTGACTGATACATGTTATAGGGTTGGTGGCTTTATCAACCAGTTTACGGGATGGTAAGTGGGTTTTTTGGATTATTAGCGAGTTAACATGGCTAGCAGTACTAATTACTACGTGGTTTAGGCGCTGGACCTTCTACGTGCTTCTCATTTGGACAGGCGCTCTATTCGTCTCGATCATTGTCTTCGTCCCGGAGACGTACCATCCTGTGTGAGTGATAGACCCTGATGACGATTGTACGTAGAATTCTAACACCACCATCTAGACTCCTAAGACGCAAGGCACAGAGACGTCGCAAGGAGACAGGTGATGAACGGTGGCAAGCACCGATCGAGAGGCTCCATCGATCCGTAGCACGGACAGTGCTACGATCTACCTACCGACCCATGCTGCTTCTGATCCTGGAACCCATGTGCTTGAACCTCTGTCTGTTCTCGGCTATTCTGCTGGGAATCCTCTATCTATTCTTCGGCGCCTTCCAACTGGTCTTTGGCAACGTATACCATTTCGAGCTGTGGCAGCGCGGACTCTGTTTCCTCGGACTCTTCGTGGGCATGGTCTTCGCCATCTCGTCGGATCCGTTCTGGCGTCGTGTTTATGCCCGTCTGGAGGCTGAACACGAGAAAGATGAAGGCAGGACGGAAAAATATCAGCCAGAGTGGCGGCTTCCTCCTGGTGCGTTCATTCATTTCGTCAGATGTCTGGAGTATAATTATACTGACGCACGCTCTTCCCCAGCTATCCTCGGTGGGCCTCTAGTCACCATCGGTCTGTTCATGTTCGCCTGGACAATCTATTCACACGTCCACTGGATTGTGCCGATCATCGGCAGCGTGTTCTTCGGAGCTGGGTAAGACACATGAACGAGGAAAACGAACGACAGATGCTGACCTATGGAACCCTAGGACAATTCTTGTATACTCCGGGATTTTCACATTTTTGGTCGATGCGTATCCGCTCTATGCAGCAAGTGCTCTGGCAGCGAACAGTTTCGCGCGGTCGAGCTTTGCTGGAGTGTTTCCGCTGTTTGGAATTCAAAGTAGGATACGTCTGACCCAACCGAGAAGCATATGTGCTAATGACGTCTGCAGTGTACAACAATCTTGGATATCATTGGGCGACCTCGCTATTGGCTTTTCTGACGCTTGTCATGGTACCATTTCCGTAAGTCCCTATTCTATGAATTCTTGTTTCTGAGTTGCGATGAGATTGGCTCACGATGCGATTGCAGATACTTGTTTTTCCGCTACGGCAGCCGAATTCGCAAGCATAGCCGGTTCGCCCATCGGTAGAAATCTACCAGCTGGCTTGTTGATAGGGATACACCCAGTGTCGATATCAGTGACGTAGCACTGGACTGTTCGTGTGCTGTTGAGAGGCGCACTTGTACTCGGTATTGTTGGCTATCACCCATATTAGATCTATGTACATCTTGTAGATTAATAGAAATATCAAAATATTGTACATCCTGAGATTGCTCAAGGTACCTCACCGTCCCTACGATTTACTATGAGAAACGATGTACCTCACGGCCGGTGGAGCCCCATCCAATCAGGGCCCCACGCTTATCGATAGTGCCGTTTTCTGCCGCGTTCGATCCCCGACTTTCCTTTCCATCCCCTCATTATCATTCTATATCCACCCCTCTCCTTCCATTCCCCTCGATACACTCCCTACTCCATTAAAATGCGACCAGACCGTCCTCGCGACCCTGTTGCCGGCCCTGACAGTGGGCCGGAGCCACCGTATCCTATTCAACTCTCCGGACCCGTCATTAAAGGGTTCGGGCGGGGCAGTAAAGAGGTTGGTCTACATACTACATACCTACATACCCCCTACTCTCCCCCCTCCTTCGCAAAAACAAAATAGCAATCAAGGAAGAAAGAAAGAAAAAGAAAAGAAAAGAAAAGAAAAGAAAAGAAAAAAAGAACAGGTCATCCATTGACCAGCCCAGATCCCCATAACCAGCTGAGAGCTAACGGGCCATGGCTATGCGATCATCAGCTTGGCATTCCGACAGCGAATATTCCAGCAGACGGGTTATCCGAGCACCCCGATCTCGACGTCGGAGTATACTACGGCGTGGTAGCGCTCGATCCGCGCCAGTTTTCCTACGAGGGGAAGAATGCGTCGGCGACGGTTTTGCCGGCTGTGTTGAGTATTGGGTATAATCCTTTTTATAAGAATAAGACGAAGTCGATTGTATGTTTCTTCCTTTCCTTTCTTTTATTTTTCTCGGAAAAAAGGGTAAGAGAAAGAGAGACTAATACAATTAGGAAATCCACATCATGCCACGCTTGACGGAGCCCTCACCCACGGCGCAGGTCGATTCCGGCCCCACGCATTTCCATAAGTTGCCCGATTTCTACGGTACGCCGCTGCGTCTGCTGATCCTGGGATACATCCGGCCGGAATACGATTACGTGTCGGTGGAGGCGCTGGTGGAGGACATCCGGGTGGACTGCGAGGTGGCGCGACAGAGCTTACGGCGGCCGGGCTACGTGTGTTATCTGAACGCGGATGCAGATGCCGATGAGGGGGTAGGGGAGAAGGTGCAGCGTTGGCGCCGGTGGTTGACGGAGTTTTAAGACTTGGCGGGAGGGGATATACGGCAGAAGATACATCATAATGGGGTCCATGCATATAGATCAGCGCATCAATTTAAGGCAACTGGATTTCCGCTCCCTTGGCGGAGCCTTTGGCACTTGGCAGGAGGGGATATACAGCATAGGATACATCATAATGGGGACCATGCATATGCATCAGCGCATAACCCAAGACAACTGGATTTCCGCTCCCTTGGCGGAGTCCTTGGCGGAGTCCTTGGCACTTGGCTTGATTGTATCCGTAAGACCGTCCCGGAAGGCGGCGGGACAAGGCCGCTGGGCGGAGCACTCGTCGACGTCAGCCCAGCCTTACCCAGCCTTACCGTAGGGCACCCATCAGACTCTGGTTTTATATCTTTATTGTTCCTCTTCCCAACTGTCTTTCATCCTCCTTTTTATACTTTCCCTCACCGTCCTACACTTCTTCATCTTCCCCCCACATTGACCCCCAATCAATGCCCTCGCAATGAATCGTCTCCGCGAGCACTTTCGGCGCCGCAGCAGCTCCAACAGCACCAACTCTACCCAGCCACTATCCAAATCACCCACACTAAACCCCGCCGACAAGCGCAGAAGGAGTACCCAGACCTCCGTGCATCAGCCCCCCGTGCGCCGTCTATATGTCACTTCCAGCTCGCAGGACTTCGACACGCGCATCCTACACCGCTTCCAGGCGGAGGGCTTCAAAGTCGAGTATCTGCCTTTCGTCGATACCAACGAGAGCCCGGAGAAGAATCGCAAGGAACTAGAGAAGTTGCTGAATGAACGGGAGGATGATCTAGAGCCGGGGGAGAAGTTCGCTGTTGTTGGTGTGTATCCCCCCGCATACATACATATAGATTATAGAGAGATAGGGCTAATCTCGATATGATAGCATACAACCGCCCCGCCTACCACCTCCTCTGCTCGCACCACCAATCCACAACATCCACAAACCCCTTCCCACGCCTCTGCGCCCTAGCAACCTACTACCCGGACATCCCCGCCGGCCAACAAGACTGGCTATGTCCCTACCAAACGAATGCGTCGTCGCCGCCGCCCACCGTCTTCCCAGCGTCGACAACCTCCACAGCGACGGCCTCCTCCTACGACATGCTCTCGCTCCTCCCGATCCAGATCCACCTCCCAGGCCAGCAGAAGCCCTCCCTCTGGGACGACTACAGCACGCACCCGCTCAAGAAGCGCCACCGCTGCCATCTATTCTTCTACCCGGAGTCGGAAGCAGGGTTCGCCGAGTCCACATCCTCCAGTGGTTCCCCCTCATCCTACGACGCCATCAGCGCCCGTCTCGCATGGACCCGCTCCCTCGAGTGCCTCAAACGTGGCTTCGGCTGGCCCGGCAGCACCTGGACAACCCCCGACATCGAAGACCTCTGGGAACAATACTGGCGCAAGCTGCAAGAAACGCCCCGGGGCCAGGACCCGACCACAAACACAGACGGCCCCATAAACCTAACCCTCACCAACGAAGAGGACTTCGACACCGACACGGACACACCCGTCCCCAAACCCCGACTCAGCTCAACAAGCTCCGGCCCACCCCCCCTCACAACAACCAACAACACGGAACCCAACCTCCTCGACCTCAACCCACACATAGACTGCTCGCCCACAATGCTCGGCGGGTCCAACACCACCACAATCGCCTCCTTCTACGCCTCCGAATTCTTCCCCGCAGGGCCCCCAGCCAGAAAATGCGCCTCCTCTCCCGCACAGTAGGCGTCGACCGCGTCGTCGACGAGCTGCTACTCACATTTACACACACGGAGGAGATCCCCTGGATGCTGCCTGGTGTGCCGCCGACGGGGAAGGACGTGCGCGTGCTGCTGGTTATGACGGGTAGCTTTGTGGGCGGGCGGATGGCGAGGTTGGGGGTTTATTGGGATCAGGCAGGCGTGCTTGTGCAGGTGGGACTTTTGGATCCGATGCTTGTTCCCGGGGGTTTTAGGGCGATCGGGAGGAATAGGCGCGGCTCGGAAGGGGTGGAGAGGTTGCCTGTTGTTGGGGTGGAGGGGGTGGAGAGGATGTTGGAGGAGTAGTTGGATGTGGTAGTTGGAGTTGGAGTTGGAGGATTGGGTGTGAGATAGAGATTAATGAGTAGGGGGTGGATGGATGGTGATACATGTGAGCGTGAGCTGATTCTGATGTTAGTAGTAGCTAGATATCTAGAGCATGTCTGTTGCGGCACCATAGATCTTGATGAATATAGTAAACTGGGTATAATTCAAATTCAAAGTAAAATGCTACAGTTGTAGATCTTTAATCTCCCGGCTCACCCCCCCAGCACTTCGCAGCGTCCGCACACTCGCTTCCTGCGCCTGCGGGATCACCTCCTCTACCGTCCGCGCGACATCCCCCGACAGTCCGGCCACCACCGCGCCCAGCAGCGTATCACCCGCACCATTAACACTGACGATGTCTTCGTCCGACAGCAGCGCCGCGGGCGGGAACAGACGCAGATACACACCCCCGATAGGCGACGTTTCCGACAGTGAGCGGCACACGATGTACGGCGCGGACTCCGGCGCGGTCAGTCGCCGATCTCCCGGCCGGAGAAGCTGCGTGACCAGCACGCCCTGTGCACCCAGCTTGGTGATCAGACACGGGATGAACGGCAGCAGTTGGATGCTCTGCTGCGGGATGCCCTGGTCGACTAGCGCCGCCGAGGTCATGGCCACGAGCCGGTCGCGCGATCCCGCTGCCGACATGCCCATGGCGTCGATAACGTGCCACCAGTTGTCTGACTCAAAGAGCCCGTTCTCGCGCGCGGCGGCGTACATGGTCGTCAGCTCGAACTGGTTGGGTGCGGCGAGACCGACGGCGTGGTTTGGGACGGTGTCCGTGGGCTTTATGGCGGCGGCGGCACCGAAGAGACGGCGCGATTTGGCATTGGAGACGGGCTCGAAGGCCACGCGCGCGCCGTGTGCTTTGGCGACCTGCACCCATTTGGCAAGCACTGCGGGGCTCCAGTTGGCGTCGACGACGACCCATTGCGGCTTGGCCTGTGCTACCATGGGCTCCCAGAACGTGTCGAAGTCGAGGGCCTGCTCGGGCTGCTCCATGATGCCCATGTCGGCCATGGCGACCACGAGGTCCTTCTTGGCGTCGTTGACTGCGATGTATTGCGCTGTGCGGGCACCTGATGACGGTGATAGCGTGCGGATGCCAGTCGTGGGCAGCTGTTCCTTTTGCAACGCGGACAGGGCAGCCCGGCCGCTCAGGTCGTCACCGATGACACTGCAGAAGAGTACGGAGCGGCCTAGGTAGTGCGATGCGATTGCGACGTTGTAGCCCACGCCGCCTAGGCTTTGCGTGATCACTGCAGGGTTCGATGTGTGCGATGAGGGCGTCGTGCTGGTTTCTCCGGCTAGAGGCGCGTAGTCACAGGACAGGTCGATGGCGAGGGACCCCGCTACAAGCACGTCGGTCTGGGGCGATTGTGCTGGGGAGACTTGGGCGGTCGTATTAGACCGCGACTCTGCCTCTGGAGGTGCCTGGTCAGCTTGGGGGGATTCTGGGAGCACTGGCATATGCCTGCACGGTGGCTCTCGACATTAGGGATAGGCTGGGTCCAGATCAGAGAGTGAAGTCACTCACCGTTCGTTCCGCGTTCCGTCGGCCTGTTCCAGCTTCGACAGCTCCACGGCCACACGAGTCGCGCGTTCCACGTTGGCCTCGACTAGAGCGCGGTTGGCCGCCACGCTTTTGGCTCCACTGAGTTCCTTGATCTTGCCTAGCACGAAGGGAGTGTTGTCGCTTCCCTGGTAGCCTTCCACATCGGCCAGACGGAGAGCTTCTACAATGATGGCATCCATCTCGTCTTTGGGAACCGAATGCTCTACGGGCACCGGATTGGCCAAGAGGATACCCGATGCCACTGGGAGTTGCGATTGGGCGTCTGCGTCACATTAGCTTTCATGTAGACAACCCAATGGAATGAGTGTCACTGACAAACGATAGCAGCTGCCTCTGCTTCATTCTGGATAGTCTTGGGGCTCTTCAACCCACTGTCTCGGGTAAAGAATGCGGGAAACTCGACGGCGCCTTCACGGCCATCGGCAAACGTTCCTACACAGACGCCCTCGGTCTCGAGGTACTCGAGGGTGCGCGGGATGTCGAGGAAGCTCTTGCAGCCGGAGCTAACCACCGCGACGGGGGTCCGTCCCAACTCTGTGAGGTCGGCTGCTGGGAGTCAGTGTGGTTTTAGAAAGTACCCAGAAGGCACACTTACCGGAAATATCCATCGAACTCTCTCCACCACGGTGGACACCCCCTAGAAGCTCGGTTAGCTGGGAAGACGACGCGAAAGGAAGAGTCATGTACCAAGGCCACCGGTACCAAAGATCTTAATTCCAGCCAAATGCGCCAGAATCATGGTCCCCGAGACGGTCGTTCCGCCCTGGAGACGTTTGCCCGTCAAGCCCTAAACTCAGGATGTTAGCATTGACATTGCACATGTTGTTGTTGTACCGGGTAGCACTGACCAGGCCACAGATATAGCCTAGGTCCCGGCGGGAGACTTTTAGGGCGGACTTGTGCTCCGCCGTGGATGCCAGCCGGATGAGCTCCTCCGCACTTAACCCCACGCGCGCTACTCCGTCCAGAATACCGATCGTAGCCGGGACGCCGCCATTGGCTCGAACCACCGACTCCAGTAAAGTTGCCAAAGCGACACTCTCGGGGTAGGGGAAGCCTGAGGCTGTCAACAAGATGCACGAGAACTAGGGATGGGGTGAAGGCATACCGTGGGTGTATATGGTCGATTCTAGAGCTACAACCGGTTTCCCTACCGCCACCGCATCGCGAACTTCCTCTGAGACGTTGAAGAACTTGCTCTGGGCCAAGCCATGAAGACGTCGAGGGGCACCAAGAGGGATCCTTTTGGGGAACCGCCGAGCGGCCCGGAGAGAGAACATGAGGATGTCTAGGAGAGTGATGATGGTGTAGGACGTAGCAGTGATACCGGGGGATGGGAAATATGAATGGGAGATGATGAATGCGAGGTGAGAATGGGAGATGAGGAGATGGAGGAGAGAACGAAGAAGAGGAGAGAAAGCGGAGAAAGCGGAGAAGAATTGCGAGGGCTTATCGATAAGCCGCCAACTGGCAAATAGCAGACTTACCCGATTCGGCATAGTGTTTGGTGCATTATAGAGGCCGCATATCGGGACACCTCAGCATATCAAGTGTTCAACTCGCCCTCTCCTCATCATCCTCCCGTCGCATTCCAATTGCTTCATTTTCCCTTTTCTTCTCTCCTCTCTAGTGGATTTATCCTCTCCTGGTGAGAGTGATCTATTTGGGATTTAATCTATCTCTGGTGCGGTCGATTATTCCCACCATGAGGCCGTGGACCGCCGTGGCTGCTGCTGTCGGCAGCTTTATCCTGTCCGCTCCCACCGTCGCCGCCGTCCCCACGGTGCAAACGGTGCTGTCTCCTGAATTCCAGCCTCCTGCCGTCTTTAAGAACCTCAATCTAGTTCGAACAACCAATTTGGACAAGGGGTATGTCCGCGAGACCGTCAACGTGGTCGTCCAGAACGTCGATAAACAGCCGCAATCCGAGTACTACCTCCCCTTCCCGGCCGCCGTATTCAACCACGTCGGAGCGCTGGAGGTGCGCGACAAGAAGTTCCCTGATGCTGGTCGGTTTGATGTAGAGGCCGTCAAGGTCGGCAGCTCCTCGAGGTAAGAATGGCCGTGCGAATGCGCATCCCGGTTGTCGAACTGGCGCGATGGATGCCGCCGTCCGATTGGGAAAACTAAAGCAAAACGAAGCTGACTCTGGCTCCTTTCCAGCGATGTCCATTACTATGCCGTCAACTTTCCTCAACCGCTAGCTCCCAAGGCGGAGATCACCCTCGGCATCTCCTACTCCATCCTCTCCGCGCTCACTCCCCGTCCCGCAGCCATCCAGCAGTCCGACAAGCAGTTCCTCAACTATGATTTCTCCGCCTACGCCCCCTCGGCCTACCAGACGGTGACCCAGAAGACCAAGCTGAAGCTTCCCACCACTAATGTGCCCGACTACACCACCACGGAGGGCCTCAAGTCCGGCGCCGACCCCGAGCGCCAAGGCACCACCTATACCTACGGACCCTACGACACGGCCAAGGTGGCCCCGGGCACCGCGTACCCGGTCAGCGTGCGCTACGAGTTCACCAAACCCGTCATCACCGCGTCGCTACTGGAGCGTGACCTCGAGGTGTCGCACTGGGGCGGCAACCTGGCAACTGAGGAGCGCTACTGGCTGCGCAACAACGGCTCGCATCTCGTGAACCAGTTCTCCCGCGTCGAATGGACCGTCAGCAGCTTCCAGCAGCAGCCCTCGTCCGCAATCCGCGAGCTCACCTTCCCGCTGAAGCCCGGCTCCGTCGACCCCTACTTCACGGACGACATCGGCAACGTCTCGACCAGCCGCTACCGCCCAGGGAAGGCCCGCCGCGACGCCTCGCTGGAGCTGCGCCCGCGCTTCCCCATCTTCGGCGGCTGGAACTACAGCTTCCGCATCGGCTGGAACAACAACCTCGCCAGCTTCCTCCGCCAGGGCCCCGCCGCCGATACCTACGTGCTCAAGGTGCCCTTCCTCGAGGGTCCGAAAGTGCCCGAAGGCGTGCAGTACGACCAGGTCGTCGTGCGCGTCATCCTCCCCGAGGGCGCCCACAACGTCCGCTACGAGACCCTCGACCAGTCGACCAGCAACGGTCTCCCGGGCCCGCACCAGATCAGCGCCGAGGTGTCCCCTCTCAAGACCTACATGGACACTCTGGGCCGCACGGTCCTGACCCTGACGGCCGAAGATCTGACCGACGAAGCGCGGGACTCGCAGCTTGTGGTGGGTTCCCTCCCCCAATTCTCCCCTTCCCACACACCCCATCACAATACATAATCACGATATAATACTAACGCAAACATTCAATAGATAACATACGAATACACCCTCTGGGACAGCCTACGCAAGCCCGCAACCATCACAGCAGGACTCCTAGCGACCTTCATAGCCGCCTGGGCAGTGGGCCAAATCGACGTGAGTATCAAGAAGCGATAAATCATCCATCAATCGCAATGTATTGAAGCAGTTGTATGATTTGTCTCTGCTTGTGTGTTGTGTTATGTATGTCAATTTTATCTTTCGTTATACCAGCAAAACTATGCCCCCATATTTGAATTGCTCTTCGTAGATATGATATGAACCACCGTCACGCTGTACAAGAGGCGTGGTCTTCCGGTTGGTCATCATACAACTACTTCGTCTAGCTAGTGGCTCGAATTAAAAAAAGGAAGAAACACAGCAAATCGTACAAATTCAAAGATGTAAGTAGCTAGTAATGGTTAACTCTCCAGTCCATAATAGATGTCCAAAACTCACGGACCCACCACCCATATGAAAACGCCCGACGCCTTGCAAAAGTCTAGTATAGTATAATATTATAGATACGCAGAAAGAAAGAAAGAAAAAGAAAAATCAACGAAACCAAGTCTACCCACCAGCACCGTCCTTTTTTTTGTCTGTTTCGCCCCATTTTTCATAATATATCAAATCGTTCCGTTGACGTGCGATCGTGATCGTCCCTCACCACCACCACCAGCCTGGCGCTTTTTCCAGGCGTTCTTAATAGTCGGTGCGAGACGGATGAGGTCGTCCTCGGTAACGCGGTCCTCGATACTCTCGAGGACTTTCTCCACGGTCGAGATATGGTTCGCGTCGGCCTTATCGTCACGGATACGGTGGAAGCGCCAGCGACCCTGGGAGTCCTTGGAGCACTCGACGATGGAGTCATCGAGGGGCTGGCCGAGGGCTTTGATCTCTTCCCACTCGGCAGGGGTGACGTACATCTCCGCCCAGTGGCGGTACTCGTTTCCGTTCAGCATGACGAAGAGGTGGAAGATGGGGATGGCGTCGTAGTCCGGGTAAGGGGCAGAGACGCCGTCGGCCTCGTCGTCGGAGTCGGGCTCGAGGAGCGGGAACTCGAGGCGCAGGCGGAAGTCGATGGTGTTCTCGGAGGGAGGCTTCCACTTGAGGATGTGCTCGTCTGTGCCGATGCGGTAGGGGGTGCTGCGGCAGGTGAAGATGAGGCCGTCGTTGCCGTGGATTTTCTTGACCTTGGGGATGATCTCGCGGAACATCATCTCGATGCCGTAGCTGAACTGCGTGGACTTGTCTTCGACTGTGAAGGCGCGGTGTGCCTTTTCCTCGGGAAAACGCTCGTAGAGCGCGTTGTAGGGTTTGAGGACCTTTTCTTTGAAGTATGCGAGGCGCTTGTCCAGCGTGCGGTGCATGAGGCTTTGCCCGTCGAGCACGAGGCAGTCGAAGACGAGGAATTTGAGCTGCTGCGTGCCGTCCTCGTAGGTGTCGTTGACGAGCTCGCCGTCGACGAGGGTATCGACGTGGAAGGACTGGAAGGTGTCGTCGTTGGGGAGGGGGAAGTGCAGGCCCGGGACGTAGCGGTAGTCGTTCTTGCGATCGATGAGGTAGTGGATCTCGGGGGCTTCGGGGGATTCGCCTCGCGCGAAGTACATGAGACAGCGGATGCCGTCGGTCTTTTCGCACACGTAGTAGTCTTCGCGCTGAAGCTCCATCAGGTGCTTGGACGAAAAGCTGACGGGTTGCGCGCCGGGGAAGTTGGGGTTGGAGCGTCCGAGAAGATGCGCCACTTCGTGCCGGAACTGTTCCGCCAGTCCTGGCTCCGCTTTCATGCCGACGGCATCGAGGTCTGGGACTGAATTGCTCATTGCGATCTTGATATGGGGAGGTAGGGCGTTCGGTGGGGTAGTTCGGTCGGTTCGAGTGAATAGATAGATCGATCAAGAGTTCGTTCGATGGAAGAGAGTTTTGACAGAGCTCTCTGGCCCGCAGGCGCAGGAGCTGTGAGCGGGTGGCTGTCGGGGAACTGCGCGACAGGTGGGGTGAAAACAGTGTAACGAGAGACTGTCAACAGTCTAACCGAGTCGAACAGTAAAATTGTAAGCGTAGTGGAGAGATCAAGTCAAGACAAAATGGAGAGTAAAGATATGGCGGGATGAGGCCAAGCGACGCCGGGGATCGGCCAGGTTCGCCCGTCGGTTCTTAGTCATCATGTGCCTTGTCTGTAACTATACGGACCACTCCCTACAACTACGACTTATATTCATGTACAACGATTATAGACACGATTTGCATTTAAGAAGATGGCTACCGAATCCACCGGGGTATCATATCATTGCTGTAGAACAACCATGCAACCAACGCCATCTCTGCGAGCCCGCTCCAATTGCGCGACTGATGTGAAGGTGTGTAGAAAGAGAAAGATGGAAAGAAAGAAGGAACAAAGAAGGGAAAATAAAAAGAAAGAAAAGAACAGATCATCAATCATAGCCCAGGTCCAACGCAAAGCCCGAGCGAGCTTCAAGCGTTAGTCACAACGGGCGTGTTCTTCGAGGCCTGCACCGAAGACTGAGCGGCAGCATCGCCTACATTGTCAGTTGCGACAGTAGCCGGCTCCGGGAAAGACATAGGTATCTCCTCTACAGGAGTGAAGAGATGAACATCAGTAGCGGGAGGATTACTATCGCCAGTGGAGAAGAGACCGCCGCCACGAGCGCCGCCAAGCGCATGGGAGAGCATCTCCTTGATGCGCACGAACTGGTACTTCTTCTTGGTAGAGATGAGGGTGTGGGTGGCGATGGGCTGCGGATGCGAGCGGGAGATGGCAGCCATGACGGCGTCTTTCTCTTCGTCGGAGTCGACGGGGCCATTGTTTTCCAGGTCGTCCTGAAGGGGCGCGTTGGCGTCGATGGCAGCCTCTGCAGATAGATCCGTGGTCAGCCAACAGCACTCGAAAGGAGAACAGAAGAAGAAGAAGGAGAAGAAGAAAGAGAAAAGACTCACTCTGCTGCCTCGCCTGATTCTTCTTCTGATAAGCCTGCAACAGCATATCATACGGCAACGACCGACCCGGCACCCCACGCTTCGCACCCATAGAATGACTCTTACAAGTCAAAGAGCGCGCGCACTGAGCCCCATTAGGCAGCGTAACACCGCACTGCTTCTCAACATCAACCGGGCCCTTCGGCTTCGCGGCCTTCGGCTTGGGCTCCTCCTTTTTCTTCTTCTTCTTCGTCGGCTCCTTGCTATCCTTATCGTCCTCAGCCTCCGCCTTCCGCTTCTTCCCCTTCTTCGTCCCATCCTCCGCCATCCCCTTAACAGCGCTCTTCTTCGCGCTCTTCTGCCCCTTCATCGACGACTCCTCGCCGTCGCCCTTATCCCCGCCGACGCTGCCGGCGCCGGCGCCCTCGTCGTCCCCATCGACCTTCTCCTTCGCGCGGTTGGCCGCATCGCGCGCCTCCTTCTTCCGCCTCGCCTTCTCCTGCTTCGCTTTCACGCAGCCGCGGATATGCTCGACGGCGTTCTGCTTGAGGACCGGCCTCTTGCACGTCTTGCAGATAACAGTTTCCAAGCGGTCTTCCTCGCGCGGCTTACCCGTCGGAAAGGCAGCGATTGTCTTCTCATCGATTTCAGGAAGAATGGGCGAGGATCCGGGGGAGGGAGGGGGTTCTTTATCTGGAGGAGTCAGCCAACCACATCCACACTCATACACACCCCTGATACCCAACAAGATAGACAACGGGAAAGAGAGAAAATACCATCATTCTTCTTCCGCCCCCTACCAGCCCCAGCACCAGTCTTCTTCAACTTGATCTTCCCCGGCTTCGTATCTTTCTCCGAGTACTTATACCCAGAGGCATCGACCAGATTACCTATCATTGTTATCAGCCCTGCTACTCCGTAGCCAATCCAGTATCGGCCAGTAAAACATACCAACACCAGTATTAGTCGCCATGATCGATGCTCTCCTCTCACTCTCCTTTCTTTTCTTTATTCTGTTATCCCCCCTCTCCTATCTTTCCTTTCCTTTTCGACGTCCGTCCGGTTCGCCGTTGTTCTCCGAGAGTAGAAGTAATATAGCGGGCGGGCGCCAAACGGGTAAATCAATCGGAAAATGCAGTAAAACGAGTGGAATCACGGGTCGTCGGCCGTGGTTGTATATGTGTATGTGTATGTGTAGGTATGTGTGGGGGAAGTGTGGGTTTGAATCGATCGGTCGGTCGGAACTGGGTTAGTGAGTTAGTATTATCGTAGTGTCGAGGTGAGGTTCCGCCTGTCTCTCCGCATCGGGTGGTCACGTGGTGGCCTATTGTTCTTCATGCTTTCTTACGGTCTTTATTCTTTTGATTCTTTGTTCGTTATTGATGACTATGGCTGGATTAGTGTAGCTGACTGAAGAGGATATATCTTTACTGCCGTCTTTGATAGGATATTGGGTGATGCAATCCAAAGCCGTGTTTACATTTACAACGCAGGTAGGTATATACAAGATACAAATACAGCCAACCCAGCATCACCTCAGTCTCGAAAAGCACAAAGAGCTATTCGTCCCTCCAAATCCAAAGCTATTGGTCAATGCCACTTCGATCGAGCGCTCCTGGGCCTCGTTCGGCGCGTAATTACAGTCGAACCCGTCAGCGAGACGCTGCAGGTTGATCGTCGGCGGCATGGTATTCTATCACCGTTAGCACAACTCTATTAGAAAAACAGTAAGGGGAAGAGAAGACGAAAAAAGAACCCACCTCGTGGATAGCCAGAACACTAAAGACCGCTTCTATAGCGCCCGCTCCGCCCAGGAGATGGCCCACTGCGCCTTTAGTACTGCTGATGTTCACTTCATTCGCGCGCTGCTTCCCCCCCGGACCGAGCAGGAGGGTCTTGATAGCGGCGTTCTCGGCGGCGTCTCCCACGACCGTCGATGTGGCATGTGCGTTGACGTAGTCGACCGCAGAGGGGGGGAGATGCGCATTCTTCAGCGCCTTTTTCATCGCCAGGAAGGCGCCCTCGCCGTTCTCCTTGGGAGCCGTCATATGGTAAGCATCGCCGGAACAGCCGTAGCCCTTCAGCTCGGCGTAGATGCTGGCGCCTCGCGCCTTTGCGTGATCCAGTTCCTATAGAAAGTCAGTATTGTTTGTCCTGTTCTCTTTCAATAAGTATGGAAGACTACCTCGAGGACCACCATCGCGGCCCCTTCCCCAACGACGAAGCCTTCGCGATCCGCGTCGAACGGCCGCGATGCCTTCTCGGGGTCATCGTTATAGCTAGTGGCCAAGCTGCGCGCTCGTGCAAATCCCCCGATGGCCAGGGGATGGATGCACGACTCGGCTCCGCCAGCCAGCATGACATCGGCGTCGCCACAGGCAATGAAGCGAGCGGCATCACCGATGGAATGGGCGCCAGTGGTGCACGCCGTCGTTGCCGTATGGTTGGGGCCCTGCAAATTTAGCCACGTCCCGCCATCGCACAGGATCACCTCTTACCATGAATCCATGCTTCATGGAGATATGGCCTGCGCCCAGATTGATCAACAACTTGGGTACAAACAGGGGGGAGACTTTTTTATAGCCCTAGACTAGTCAGCACGCTAGAACCATATACGCGACAAGGATACCGACTCACCCCCTTCTCATAGGCGACGACAGTATCATAGATCTCGTCAAAGTTCCCAATCCCCGATCCCAAACAAATTCCCTGCAGACGGTCAGCGGATACCGTCCATAGACACCGTCAAATGTGATACACACCGTAGCTTCCTTCTGCTCCGCCGTCGTCCGCATCCACCCCGCATCATCAAGAGCTTCCTCAGAAGCGGCCAGCGCATACTGGGCGAAGCGAGCCATTTTGCGCTCTTCCTGCGCGGGTCAGTCTCTGAGCGGAGGCGCTCAACACCAAGCACAATATAAATATAGATAAACATACATCCCTACTCAACCACTCGGAAGCATTCCACCCGCCATCCTGCCGCGTACCCTGGGGCACAACGGCGGCAATCTGACACGGTACCTCCGCGAACCTGGGGCCACGCTCACGGACATTGACAATGCCACAGTGACCATCTAATAGACGGGACCAGGTGCGACGGATGCCTGTTCGGAATGTTTAGCATTGTCATAAATACATATATGTATGGACTATAGAATGAGGGGTTCTCCAAAGGCTTGACCTTCCCGATGCGGAGGAGTGGGGACGGATGGTTGGTTGGTTGATTGGACCGAGGATGAATCTTGATATCCCTCTCCTCTCTTCTCGATTAAGTGGTTGAAGTGGGGATGATCAATTGATCCATAGTGATACAGAGCGGTAATAGGTAGGTATGGCAGGATTAAATCAAGGAAAGAAAGCAAGAAAGACATACCAACACCCAAGGGAGAGACCGCTCCTAGACCAGTGACGACAACCCGACGCATGGCATCGTGGTCCGGCGAATAGATAGAAAGATGAATTGGCCAAGCCAGATGATACTCTGTAAGATAACGATGCAGGAGAGCAAATCCGCGGGGGCATAGAAATAAGAATGAGACAAGACGAATCGGAAGAGAAGAAGATCGAGAGTTGAAGTTGATGATGAAAAAAGTGGCCCGAAAGGGAAAGTCTTCACGATAGAGTGGATGTCGTATTACGTTGTATTGGTGCTATTTTACGGGTGCGCAATACCATTTAACATGTGTATTGTACTGTATCCTTATCGATCTATCAATTGTCTGGATCATGGATATAACCAGCATCTCCTCCTTCTTTTCTTCGTCTTTTCTTTTTTCTTTTCTTTTTTCTTTCTTCCATATTCACTCTCTACAGTATACACCACACCAATAATCAACATGAAATTCTTCCTAGGGCTCCTCGCCCTAGCCGGAACCGCCCTCTCCTGCGCCCACCACGATGACGAAGCCATCCCCGACGCCGAGCGCGAAGAACTACTCAAGAAATGGGATCAAGAGGTGAGTCTCCATATACACATACATACATACACATACACACCGTATACATATATAAATCAATACTGATAAACAAAAGTGGTCCTTCACGGGAATATCCACCTTCGCGCACCTCAACCCCGTCAAATGCCTAACCACCCCAAACGAGCACTACGACATCGCCGTCATCGGCGCCCCCTTCGACACAGCAGTAAGCTACCGCCCCGGCGCAAGATTCGGACCGCGCGCCATCCGCGCCGCCAGCGCGCGCCAGCTGCGCGCAACCAGCTACAACACGCGCGCAGGGATCAATCCCTACATGTCGTGGGCGACGATCAAAGACTGCGGGGATATCCCGATCACGCCGTTCGACAACGGGCTAGCCGAGCGGCAGATGTACGAGGCGTTTCTGGAGCTGGGGTCGCGCAAGACGCCGTCGAGCAGTGAGGGCGGGGCGCAAGGTATCTCGGCCGGAAAGCCCAAGCTGGTTACGTTAGGAGGCGACCACAGCGTTGCACTCCCTGCGCTGCGCGCGCTCCATAAGATCTACGGGAAGCCGATCACGGTGGTTCACTTCGACGCGCACCTGGATACATGGAATCCCGTGCGGTACTCCGCCTACTGGCAGTCCGAGCAAACGCAGTTCAACCACGGAAGCTTCTTCTACAAGGCGAGCAAAGAGGGTCTAATCTGCCACGCGACGAGCGTACACGCCGGCCTACGGACCCGTCTAACGGGCACCGACGACAGCGATTACACGGCCGAGGGAAGCCCCGAGCAAGAGGGCTTCATCCGAATCCACGCCGACGACATCGACGATGTGGGGCCTATGGGCGTCGTCGAGCGGATTCTCGCGCGAACGGGTCTCGACCCCGACCAGCCTGTGTATCTATCCGTGGACATCGACGTGCTGGATCCAGCTACTGCGCCGGGCACGGGCACGCCCGAGCCGGGCGGGTGGACGACGCGGGAGTTTATCCGGATCCTGCGCGGAATTGAGCGGTTGAATCTTGTCGGGGCGGATATCGTGGAGGTGTCGCCTAGTTATGATAATAAGGGGGAGACGACTGCTTTGGCGGCTGCGCAGGCGGCGTTTGAGATAATTACGAGTATGGTGAAGCGGGGGTCGAGGGAGGAGGTGGGGGGTGGTATGGGGTGAAGGGGGGATCGTCGGGGGGCAGGTGAAGAAGGACGGCTCGAGGGGACAGGGTACGAAGGATGAGCTGTAGATGGGGATCAACGAGGTTGATGTAGCTTGTCAGCCATCATGTGTATGAAGTATGGGTATAAGTATGAGTATGAGTATGAAATACGAAGTGAGGATATTAGCCATCGCAAACCTAGCTTATCACCCACAGGAAGTATGAAGCATGAAGTATAAAGTATAAAGCCAGGCCTCAATCACCAAGCCTCATACCTACCGCAGCCATAATCACATACATAGAGTACGGAGTCCAAAGCGCAGACATGACATCAAGAGCACCACAATCATCCCATCCCATCCCAGATATACCTCACCAATTATTACCTACCTACATATCCAAAGCATAAACTATAAACTATAACCTATAACCAAAGTAAAACCCAATCACGAGTATGTACGATAACCAACAACCCCAGATATATTAGTACACCCCGTCAGCCACCCCGCAGTTAAACATACATACAAAGTATAAAATAAAGTAAGAACTTAGTTAGATTAGTGAGAGCCCAACTACCCCAGATATACCTCACCAACTATCACACTTGGCATCGAATCAAGTCTAAAACCAGGACAACTACGATTACCAGCAACCGAGTACCGTATTGATTCCAGCTTGGCTTATCTTGACTAAGATACATATATAAAGCAGGTGAGAAACAAGACTCAATTAAGTAGTGAATGTATCAGCTATTTTAAACGCCACTATGTATGTGGGGTATAGAGTGCGGACTTTGTAAGTGGGAGTATCATATTAGCTAGGTATCTCAGAGAGAGCTTATTGGCTATCATGGATATGGAGTATCAAGTGAGGACAATTGATGAGAGTATTATGGCTCCATTGTGACATCTTCCAGGACCACTCACTCTCAGTCAGTTTCAGTAGATGCGTACCCATGCGATAATACTATCAACCCCAGAGACGACTGCTCACCAACAACAACAGTCTATTCGACAATACAAGTACCGTCCTATAAAAGGCTACACAGACAATCAACACATATATTCCATTCAGGCTCTACTGACTCATACAAGCCCCATACGAGCTATATAAGACCGAGACAATAAGACAACCCCCGGACCCACCACGATATATAACCCGGTCCCGGGATGACCATATGCATCAAGCCAGGCAAACAGATCGAGCAAGGCAACAGATCGAGCCAGAGGGTAAGGAAAGGGAAAGGTAAACCCGGGGTATCACGGCTTGATCAGATCGCATCGCATCGCAAGCCAGGTCCCGAGGGATGAGGAAAGGGGTGGAATGGCACAACAAATTGGTCTTGTCTTGTCTTGGTCACGGACAAGCATGTCGCAGGAAACAAAATCGCGGAGATGAAGCAACAGATCAATATCATCAGCCAGCCAAAAATAAGACGCCTCGACTTCCAACGCCGACAGAGACGGTGAATCAAAGAAGGGAACATGGACAGTGGAAGGGAAGAAAGGCGGAAAACAGCCGGGGAACAGCCGGGGGTAGGCACGAGCAAGGATCCGGGTGAATCAACGGAATGAGGCGGGCATGAATCGGACGTGCAGGATAGATGGTCCGACGGAGAAGGTGTCGAGGGGAGGACTGGCGAGTATCCTGGTTCGCAGGCCATCGATCGGTGGTAGGATTGCTCGAAATTCGGGGACAGCCATGAGAAAATCCTCTGGTGAAGGTGATGATCCGCCTCCCTCTTACATGCAGTCGAAGAAAATGGGAGAAAACAACAAAGAAAGCAAAAGAAAAGGAAAAGATTCTGGCTTCAGTTCTCGATCAAGCACGTCAACGCTCCCAACCTTCCAAACGCATTGCAACATATCTGAACCGGGTCAGTCGGAGGTCTGGAAGGGGGCAAGGAGGAAGCGACTAACATGGTAACGCATGATTTGACTCCATTACAACAGCAAACAGGTGGGCCTCTTCTTCTTGACGGGAGGCTCCAACGCCGCGACGATGGCCTGAAGAAAAGATCGCGTTAGTATCGAGATTTCATAGACAACCATATATAGAGGCATCGACTCACCTCGTCAAAGACATCCTTGAGCTTGTACTGAGTCAGGGCGGAACATTCGACGTATTTGACGGCGCCCAACTCCTTGGCCATGCGATCGCCGTCCTCCTTTCGGATGGGCTGCATCTTTTGGCGAGCCAACTTCTCCCTCACGCCGGGGTCATCGCGCAAATCGGTCTGGGTGCCGACGATGAGGCAGGGGACGCCGGGGCAGTGGTGTCGGACCTCGGGGAGCCACTTCTCGCGGACGTTTTCGAAGGAGGCGGGGGAGGTGACGGAAAAGCAGACGAGGAAGACGTCGGTCTGAGGGTAGGACAGCGGGCGGAGACGATCGTAATCCTCCTGACCGGCGGTATCAAAGAGACCCAGCGTATACGGTTCATCACCGATCCTAGCGAAAGAAGAAACGGTCAGTCAGGACTCGCTAGGAGAAAAGCTGCCGAGTCCGAGTAGAGAACGATCCGACACGAACTCGAGGCATCGTCGCGACATCGGGGTTGGGCGCGATGGAGACGGACTGGTGGGTTGCAAGTCGACTTACATAACAGTAACAGCATAATTATCAAAGACCGTAGGCACGTATTCCGAAGGGAATTTGTTCGTCGTGTAAGAAATCAAGAGACATGTCTTTCCGACCGCACCGTCACCAACCACCACACACCTATCGAAGGGGGACCGAGTTAGCAGGCGCGGATAATACCGAGGAATCAGGTGAGAAAATCAAAAAGGGAAGGGGGATCGCGATATGAGATTGGCGATCAACAAAATGAGGGGGATGAGGGGAGGAGGATCGAGGGATGCATGGAGAGAGGGGGGGGACGCACTTAATCGTAGCCACAACCATGGTGGAAATCTAGAGCTCTCGGAGGCTCTGCGAACGGGGGAGGTGCAGGGGTAAAGAAAGAGGAGGATGAGGGGAGAGCGGAGGGGAAGAGAGGGGAGGGGATGAATCCGGTGGAGGAGGGGATGATATGATAATAAGAGAGGGAGGAGGAGCTGTCTAGATGGGACGGGATAGGAGTGATATGCGGTGAGTTGTATGGGTGAAGACGGATGGATGAGTGGGGGGGAGGAAGAAGGGTGGAGAGAGAGAGAGAGAGAGAGAGAGAGAGAGGAGGGGAGGAAAGAAGATGGAAAAGTGAAGAATAGAGAGAGAACCCGAAAATCAACGAGACGCGTGGTGGAGAGAGAAAAGAAGTCGAGGACAAACGTGTACGGAAGAGAGAGGAAGAAGAAAGAAGGAGGAGAGAGAGAGAGAGAAGAGGGAGAGGGGGAGAGAAGAAGCGCCGGGGTAGGGATAGCAGCGTCGATGGTGGTTGGTGTGCGGTGAGTAGTGGTAGTAGTTAGTAGTGGTTAGCATAGGTAAGAGCCTGAGGTATTGAGTCGAAAAAGTCCAGCCAACTGTGGAAATCATCCGGGACAAATCAGAGAGCGTCGCTCAATACGGGTACGGGAGAATACAGATGGCACGTTTCAATCCATTGCCATGATCCTGTCCTATCTAGGTACTCACGATCCTGTCTGATGATTGAGATAGTCACTAGATCAATAATATTAGATATCTTCTATCTACAAAGATATTAGGATATTACAAAGAAAGAGTCAATACGGAATACCAATCCAAGGGTTCCCTTGGATACCTGGTATCCCAGGTATCCAGTACCTAGGTATCAGGTAATGAATACTCCTGTTGTTGATGAACCCCTGGAATCCCAGGCAATCAATCAACGGCAGTTGCATCCTCATCTCTCAGGTATCCATCAGTCCATCCATCTGTCTATCATGTTCCCATCCAAACTTCATCCCCGATCGGACCTGTCACTCTGTCAACTCTGTCAGAGCGTTGGACGGGGGATCCACTCTTTCCTCCTTTAAATAAAAAAAAAAAAAAAAAAAAAAAAAAAAAAAAAAAAAAAAAAAAATTTAAAGCAAAAGCAGTTTCATGATGTGATGATCCACTCGGGGAACCATCAACCCTTTTTTTTTCCCTTTTTTTATTTGTTATTTTTCTCTTGATTGTTTGTTTTTTATCCCTCGGTTTCCACTCCCCTAAGCCCTACAACCTACAGCCTACAGCCTACAGTACTACCTAGTATTATAGATCATCACTCGTCTATTTCATTCATGCTCATCAAACATGCCATCAAGCATGCCTTCAAACATGCCATCAAACATCCCAGGTCTATCTATAGAGTCCCGCCCCATCCCGGTCATAATCCCAAGGATCGTCGGAAAAAGAAATATACAAAAAAAACAATCATCCCAAAACTCCACGTGCGTGGCTAGCACGTAGACCAATGCTCTCGCCGATGCAATAAAGTTGAGATGCTATAAAAAAGAGAAAGAAAAAAAAAAAAAAAAATGAAATGGAAAAAAAGGAAGTGATAAAAAGATGGGAGGAAGAAAAGGAAGAGAGTAAAAAAAAAAAAAAAAGGGAGAAAGCAAGAGACACGGGAACAATGGGCCCACTCCCGAGTCAAACCCAGATACATGTCGAACCAGAGGATTCTCTCCCATTTCAACCTGGTTCCGGGGCTCGACCACCCCCCGGAACAACAAAGCTGCGGAGTCCTGCCCCGCAACGCCTCGGGTGCCAATTGCACATGTACAGCATCGCCTCCTATCACGTTCGCTTCGAGTGACGGTCCGTGTCGCCTTCCGCGGCCTCGCGTGGAAGGATCGGCTCGTGATCTTGAGGGCCCTGGCTCATCTATCGCCTTGTGAGTGGGATGCGACGAGTGGAAGGACACGAGAAACCTACCTTGTCCAGCTTGTAGTTGTCCATCAACAAGCTCAGCGGGATCAGCGGAAGCGTCACAACCAGCGCCAGAATCAGCAGCTTGTTCATCGTCTCCTGATACGATCGGTTGATGGCAATCCGAGCGGGAGATCCCATCGGGTATTCGAGCGCCTTGGTCAGTTTCCCAAAGATCTCCTTCGCGAACGGCCGCTCCGCCTCGGGCAGATACCGCTCCAGCTTGCGCGGGATGTTATGCGTCCAGATGGCGCCCGAGATGGCCGCCCCGACCGCCCCGCCCATCTCCATGCACGTGAGGAACATCGCCGTCGCCGCGGCCACTTCCTGGTGGCTGGCGGCGGCCTGAATGCCCAGCTGGACGGGCACGTTGACGAGCCCGCCGCCCAGTCCCACCAGAATCTGCGGGATCAGGATCTGCGCGTACGAACTCCCTTCCTGCCGGAAGAGATACATCAGCAGGAAGCCCAGCATGTACACCGCGGACCCGCCGGTCGCGTAGATGCGGTAGCGCCGCGTGTACTTGATCAACAGGGACACCGCGAACGCGGAAATCGTCGACATGAATGCAAAGGTCTGGGTCACACGGCCCGCCGTGGAGACTTCAAAGTCCTGGACCACCTGAAGGTACGAGTAGAGGTAGGGTTGGATGGCGAAAAAGTAGGCCACTAGATCTTGTTAGCGCGTCTTCGACGAGCACGCGCGATCGGGGGAGATACGCACTGAAATACCAAAAGATGAGGGTACAGCCCGCAAGGACGGTGCGTTGTTTGAGCAGGTGCAAGGAGAGGAGCGGCCGCGGCGCCAATCTCTTCGAGGTCTCCCAGGCGGGCAATGCGATCAGGCACAGCACGCCCACCGCGATCATGGTGACGATGCTGTTGTTCGTCCAACCATCTTTGGCGTTGGCAGCCAGCGTCAAGGGGACTAGGATCAGGATGACCGCCGCCGACAGGATGATCAGTCCACCCATGTCGAGGTCATACCAGGTGCGGCGGGCGCGGGCCACGAACCCGGTCCGACGGTGCACCTTCGTCTTGATGAGGTTCAGACGACGGGCTTTGCGTTGGTTTAGCAGCAACGAGAGGGCCAGGGGCAGAAACGACGCCGGCAGGATCACCGACCACATGCCGTAGCCCCACCGCCACGAGAGATTGTGGAGCACCGAGTCCGCAATCGACGGGCCGATCCAGACGGTGACGAGGAAGGGTAGTTCGGGCAACAGGGCAAAGAGCGCGCGGTTCAGGAGACTGCTGCTGTCGGCGATGAACACCTGTTGGAGGATCTGCAGACCGGTGGAGCCGGCCGAATAGAAGATCTGGGCGGACGCATAGGTCTGAACGTTGTTCGAGGCAGCCATCTGGATATAGCCAAGGACATATATCAAGATGCTCACGCAGAATGCTTCGAAGCGACCGAAGACGTCGGCTATCTTGGCCATGGGGGGTTTGACCACCGCTGAAAGGGATTAGCGGATGGAGAGCACAAAACCACCGGACAACCACGATCGAGGTTCACCTACCCAAGACCACATTCTGAATGACCATGACGGTGGAGATCAAAGAATGCTTGCTGAACGCGCTGGTGGCATAAGCCGAAAGGGAAATGGTCGTTTGACTCTCCAACGAGGTACAGAACGCCATGAGAAAGATGCTGGGAATCGGGTCAGTTGCGACCTCGGCATACGGTGGGCCGGGGAACACACCTGAAGTATGCTATGATCAAGGACTTCGTGGTCCACGTCAGATTGATGGCTTCGATCTTCCGGACGCCCTCCTGGATCGAATCCTCCGAGGTCGAGTCGCTGGCGTGGCCATCGGTCTCGTACCCCGGGTGCAGGAGATGTTCTCCTTCGTCCGCCGGGTGTTCCATTGGGTCCGGGTCGATTGTTCCATACGAGGGTCCCGATCGGACATCAATTTGGGGCATTGCGACAGGGCCAAGTACGTCAAGGGCGGTTTTCGACGGGCGAAAGTAGGGCGAGCACGGTCCATCTATCAAGGGCGAGGTTCGAGAGATCGTAGTCAAATCGTAGGGAGACACACGAGGGATATGGTAGTAGCCGTCCGAGAAACCCAGTCCAAACACCGCGCATCAAGCGTCACGATAGGGCCAGCCGAATTTAAAGCGCGGACGGAGGGAAAAGTATTGTTTTATAAAGCCGCTGGTTACGTGAGAGCTAGCCAGATAGACGGGCCCACCGTAACGAAACGACGAAAAGCAACCACGCGGGGATCGGCGCCAAATCAACCAGTGTCGAAGGAAACCAAGAACGAAAATCGGAGATTGGTGGAAGTGGAGTATTGTTCAAATAAAAGGGAGGGGCCGGCGGCCAAGGCGAAGAAGCGCAAGCGTAGATGAGACGTCAGGCGTCGGGTACCAGAGACATATGAGTTAGGTAACCTTCGGAGAGGGGTGGATCCAGCGATCGAGAATATCTATTGTACAGGGGGAGAAAGCGCGGGAGCAATCATTCAAGAACTCCAAACTGCAGAAGAATGGGGTGGTATGAATCACAATCGGGGGGAGGGGGCCCGCCGACACGATCGACAGGCGAGACTTATGCACGTCGACGTGGGAGGGAAAGCGGGATCAGCCTATGGGCTTGAGGCCCGAGGCCCAGGCAGGGTATGGCACCACCAGAATGGGAGGCTGAAGCGGAAACTATTTGCTGAGCGAGTCGATAGTGGGATTGAGATATTGGGGAGCCCTCATCTAGGGTAAAGAAGTGACTCATGGAGTGTTATCCTTGCGTTTGGAGTTGATCAGTTGAGGAGATCCACGTAATCAAGACTGGTATGGTGCATGTGAGGTCATGAGCGACCTGTCGGAGAATAGGTGGGGTGAATGAAGGGGAGACGAAGGTAGGAAGTAGCCAGTATTCCTCTGAGTGCTCGTCAATATTTTACCAATGGAGTAGACAGAGGAAGGGTAATATGCAAAGAGGGGAAGAAGAAGTGACGTGAAGAGGAAGTGAGAGTGAAAGTGAGAGGAAGAGAAAAGGTGGGGAGGAGAAGTTTAGCCAGAAGTGGCAAAGCCGGGAATGGTTTAGTTGCGGTTTCGGCTCCATCAGATATGATAAGATCAGCTTATCATCCTCCTCTACGGACGATTCTTTATCAGATCAATGCATCGATTATATCGAAACGATAGTAATATAAATATCATAAGAGGAAGAGATGAGTGTTATAGAATACGAGATACTATACTACTATACACGACCATATTTAAATGATTCTACCGCGAATACCGCGTGAAAGGGGTTCCATCAGGCCGATCAGCCATGACCAATCGAGGACTAGCCTTCTCCACTTGAAGTATACTAACTTCGACACTGAATGTAATCTTCTACAACGATTAAAAATCAGATAGTAGGACATGTACCACAGACAAGACTCACAAGATACATCCACGTTCCCCCCGAAAGCCATGTGATTTGAATCCGTCAGTGCGACGACAGTTGTCTTCCCCACTCCATCCGGGAGATATAGATGAACCGATGATATCCCGTGTTCCATCGACACTAGCGCTGCAACGCCGGGGCTATCGGGGTCAGACCGTTCAATTTCATGTGGGGGGGAGGGGGAGGTCACTTTCTGTTCTCTCGTGGCGTTTCAGGATGGATGTCTCGGGACTCGAAGGAGTGTCGATCACTGTATTTTCTTTTCCTTTCGTCTCTTTTTTCTTATTACGGTCCCCGACAGTCAAGACGTGCCACAAGCTGCATCCATGCCACAGCAGTGCGGCGTCATCTCGTCTGTTTGAGAGAGTAGGACAGCATCTCTTGTCGGGACCTGCGCTGTACTACCGGCCGTGCGTCATATATGCATCTGAGCCGGTAACCACGTTCTTTGCTCCAGGATCAACCCATTATTTATAATCGAACTTGTCCTTCTTTTATGCTTGTTGTCTGTTAATATGAAAGTTTATAAGCTTACAGGTCTACCGAGGACATCGCCGTCAGTTTCAATTTAAATACGCCAGGCCAGCTAAAAGACACTGCTTTCATAATTTAGCATATGAAGGATATTACGAGATATCCTGCTCTCTAACAGCTTTTCACCCATTAAGAGATACATACATCACAATGCAGCCCTTCAATCCTTGGATTCTTGACAAACGCCAGATACTGCCACCAGAACCTGCTTCCGGAGGACAAGTCAACGGATTCCAGATCCAAACGTATATCATACAAAGAGAGATCGTGGCCCTGCTCCGCTAGAGCTATGAGATATATACAGCAATATCGCCCAACTCCCGAGAACATGCCAAGCAAGCTTCTTGGTTATTACGCATCTTTAAGACTCACAGCAAGCTACTCGAGGAGCAAGTCACAGCTTTGAGTGAGCTCCTGGACATCATGGACCAAGAGAACTGGTCAAAGCGACCTGCTGGTCCAGTAGGAAGTTGTCCGAACGCATACCATTACAGAGTGAAGAAGATAGTATGCAAACAGAGATACTTCCTTTTATAGTAAGTGACTATAAATAAACTGGAATTAACGAAGTTTTGACCCTTATACGCCCGTGAGCTTTTGAACAAGAGAGGAGATACGTATATCTCTAATCTTGGGTTACTCCGTAGCAGACCACAATATATACAGGGTAGGCGTCCAACGACACGCAGGTTTATGGAGATACAGTAGCCCTTTACCCACGTCTTGCTGTCTTTGGACAAAAATTCACATTCGGAGTGCACTTTCCTCTTATACTCACGGTGTAGTGTTACTCTCAGCAGGGAAGGCTCAGTTATTCTCTTTAGGCCTCCCACCTACAGATTGGGTCTTCTTATCTACAGGAGACACTACCATCTCTCGATGAAACTACACATTGAGTACTGTCTTAAAGTAAAACTACACATTCTGGTACACGTTCGTCTATTATGCATGGCACAGTGCGATTCTGAGCAGAAAGGCTCGGTTTTTTTTCTTAGGCCTCCCACCTCCATACTCGGCCTCCCTCACGATAGGAAACTGCCATTTCTGGATAAAACTACACATTCAGGTACACTTCACTCTATCATTGACGGCACAGAGCTTTTGAGCAAAAATTGTTCAGCCCTCTTCTTAGGCCTCCGCCGCCATATCAGGCCTCCCTAGCTATAGGAAACTGCCGGTCCAAGGACTTGCAAATTAAAGCCTTGCGCTACATTGCAATTCAGATCCAGAAAGTACAAATCTATTGGCTTCATTGTCTCCTGGCAGGCTCTCAAGAGGCCTGATGCAGAGTATTCACAGACGAAGGAAAGCCTATGAATACCAGTCCCACGCTCATACTTCAAGCTCGAGTCAATCAACACCTTTCAAAATCATCAACACAAGATCAATCTACCTTTCCAGTGACTCCCAACATGAAGCTTATCAGCGTCCTCGCTACCGCAATGGCCATTCTCCCCAGCTCAGCCATTGCCACGGCCGAAGGTACGCTGCTAAACCTTCCTCCCCCCCCGCAATGACTGACACAGAAACTGACATCAGAAACCCAACTCCCACATATCGTACCTGAAGTCTGCGTCAAGATCAGAGTGTGCCTAAACTACGATTTCAAAGGACCCTGCTACAACGAATGCCAGAAGCCGTCGGTCACGCATAAGATCCGGGACGGATTTAGAGACAATGCGGGCTCGTTCGCCGTAGACACGAAGGGTTACCTTTGCACTGTCGGCACTCCGTGAGTATATCCAGACCCGATATAAGTCAAGAAGGGATGAAATGAACTGACAATTGCTAGGAATGCCGCGACTTGCTCTGGAAAGGAATATCCTGGTTTCAAGCGGCTTCCTGATTGGTGTGTCAACAATATCAGTGGTTATCATTGCACAAAGTCTTAGTGTCGACGCCCATAAAGACCACGTACTATGCGGCTTTTGGAGCGATAGTTGGTTTCTGCTTTCAACATAGACTGAGAATGTTGGGATTCAATATGTTATCTAGAAACTAGCTACACTGTTAGAGAATATATGACTCATTGAGTGTATTTCTTGCGGGGCCTCATTGATTGGGATATTATATCATGCTACTAGCTTCGAGACATTTTTCTTAAAGTTCTCTCTACTTTCTATACTTCAGGATAAAAGTGCCAATGCCTACTCTAGTAAAAATATAAACTTACAATATGGATAAGAGGAAGATCAAGAAGTTCATGAAGATCAGACTGTTCCACACTCACTGAAAGATCATCCCCCCAATCAAAGAACAGCTAAGCTCTAAACCAAATCAAGCACAAAATCCCCAAAGCTAACCACCAAATCACCCCCCTCATCAGACGGCTTCGCCCCATACACCCCAACCCACAGATCTCTAACGCCCGTCTCCTCCAGCGCCCACGTCACCTCCCGGAGCGGCGTCCTTTGCCCCCCATCCTCCACAAGATAAATCCACAGCGAATCATCCTTCGCACGGACAGCCTCAACGGTAGCGCCGCGGGCGCCCTCAGGGACAGACACGAGACTCCAATCCGCGGCGCGGTCACAAGCAACGGTACTGAGACGGGGCTGGCCGTCGAGCAGCTCGATGCCGGTCTTGATCCACTTGCGGGGGCCGTCTGTGCCGTTTAGCACGAAGATGAGGCCGCCTTGGTCGTACTGGTGTTCCCAGTTGGCGGTGAAGGTGACGCGCATGCGCTGGAAGGAGGAGATGGGAATGGGTCGGTAGAGGATGGGGGCGTTGAAGCGGGTTGTGGTTGGGGCTTTGGTCCAGATGTCGGTTTGGGAGGGGACTTTTATGGTGAATTTGGGGGGGAGGTTGTCGTTGCCGTCGCTGGGGACGGGGTCGGATGAGTTGGCGTAGTGGAATTTGGGCATGATTGTTAGATAGATGGGTTGGTGAGATTGTGGAGGGAAGAGTTGTAAAGGAGGTGGTGTTTAGTGAGGGGTTTGAGGATCATTTTAGAGTATTATGTGAGTCATGGCTGGGCGCCTTAGTTGCAGCGTGATCTATAAACGATGTACATATTGATCTATATAGGAGGCCAGGTATAGAGGTTATATGATTCTTTTCTGTATTGAGCTTTATAAATTTTATAAATGGTTAATATATGTCAATCAGTCTTGGTAATAATATACTGGATCAAGATTATAGCGAGGATAATGAGGTATCAAACTACTGACAGTGAATATATCAACATTATGATTTCTGAACATTTCACAATGACTGGAAATGTGATCAGGATATCTATATATCACTACTGACTTTGTTGCTTTTAAGTGACTGTATCTTCTTACTCCTGCCTATTCTCACATGATTCTATGGTATAAAGAGGATCATTGTCTTTTCCAACATGTAAATAGTTGACTGGATTAACATCACCAACCAAAATATGGACTCTCTCAAGAGAATATCCGGTATCATCATCAACTCCATCGAGGATGTCCTGGACAGGGTCATCTTTGCTGGTCTGGAGGATAGTGTTCATGCCCCAAAGATATCCAACCGTGAATTCACTCCCAGGCCATCTCAGGTGAGTTTAATCTTCTCATTTCTCTCTTCCTGATCTCTTCCACAATTTCTCCATGTTTCCCTGTGTGTCATGTTCTCGGCGTCATTCCCTCCCCCAGACAACAAAGACACAACAACTCACCTGTCTTTGAAACCATTCTTCTCACACACTCACACCTCTCTCCCTCTTTCAAACTCTCCCTCTTCCATCTCCTTGTCATCGTCTAACTCAACTAGACTACCAAGATGGCTTCCACCTCTCCTGAGCCCGAAAAAGAATACCCCGTGGCCGATGTAGACGATGCCGCTGGCTTCATGGCTGCCGCACGTAAGCTCCAGGAAACCTTCCCTGCGTACACCTCAGCCGCGTCTACCAGACAGGACACCAAGACCGAATCCGAATCCGTGTCCGACCTTGCTGGAGACAATCATGCCACCGGTGAGCCACCCTCCTAGACTTATCGATCAAGCGAACCAAGAACTGACTGATACAGCCGTGGCCGAAACTACCACTTTTGATGACCCTGCTGGATTCAATCATGTTACTACCGGTAAGTCACCCCCCCATGCTTGATCCATCAAGCGAAGGAAATACCGACTGATACAGCTAATCCAGAAGTCACCACCCCTTTTGATGAGTGGGGAAACGGCGCAGACTCGAAGGTCGAGGACAAACTGGCTGTCAACAACGCTGATCCTGCGGCTGCGGCTCGCGATGCAATCTCCTTTGGTTCTCCCGCGACCAAACCGCCCGCCTTTAAAGCTCCCGTGGACACCCCAAAAGACCACAAGGAGGACCGCGTGGAGGATCGCGAGCACCAGATAACCTTCAAGACCTGGGGTCAGCCTGAAGAGCGTTCGAAGCCTGGTACGTCATCGTCTCTTTCCTTCACTTGAATGAAAGCTACTAACATGGATTCTCTCCTGAATAGCGTCTCGCGTCCGACGTGTGATCCTTACCGGCCTTCCCACCGCCTGGCGCAGCCCCAACAAGGTCCTCTCCTTGATCCACGGAGGCGTCGTCGAGAGCGTGTACGTGACTCCCACCGGCAAGGCTCACATTTTGTTCTGCGACCACGAAGCCTGCGACGCCTTCTACAAAAAATACCCCAACGGGATCGACCTGGAGAGCAAATTCACTGCGTTTGTGGAAACCGGCCACGAAGTCGATGTCGTCAGCTCCGCGCTGGCGTACAATCTCTCCGTGGGTTCCTCTCGCGTGGTCCGCGTCGTGGGAGCCAACATGGATGTGACTATGGAGCAGCTCTACAATCTCGCAAAGACGGGAAATCGCAAGGTGGAGAAGATCCTTGACACCTATGTGCCGGATACTGTAAGCCTACTCCAACTCCTCTCTTTATAGTGCACGCAATTAACGACGACCCAGCCTCGCACCGTGGTCTTCCGCTTCTGCAGTATCGAGAACGCGGTTCATTTCCACAAGATGCTTGTCCGCGACGCTGACTGGGAGCACTGCAACATCCAGTATGGGACTGATCCGTGAGTATCTCTCCCCTTCTACAAATTCCGAGCATGGCTAATACGTGATGGTTGAAGCTGCGAGCTTGCTACCGGCTACCACGTCGACTGATCACCGGTATCTCACCACGAGAAACACGTTGGATGAACGACGATCGAGAACTTACGAGCATTGTATCTGGGGTAGTTGATCAACACTGAAGTACATTTGTCAGGGAAATAATCGGAAAATCGGGAAATAATCGGGATAGTAGGAAGAAGAAGAAGAAGGAAGGAAGAAATTGTACACAGACCACTCCCATAGCTAGATAGTTAGGAAGTCAATAAGCACAGAGCATCTCCCGATTGTATCCTGTATCCCCCTCCCATCCTACCTACCAACCTACCAACCTACCAACCTAGATACTCAGCCTAAACATAGAAGCAACCACAATCAACCAAACCAAGAAACCAACCAACCCATCAAAAAGCTACACCAAAACCGCAACCACCACCCATTCTCCCCGCACAACGCCCCCAACCTAAATCCAACCCATACCTACACCTCCATCCAGCCCTCCCCAATCACCATACATGCCGGGGACACACCGTCGTCATCCAACGGCAAACACGGCAGACTCAACTACCGGTCCCATAACAAGGCCAGACAGTTACACCCCTGCCTACACAAGGCTAATTACGTTCTTCCTCGGGACAAAATCAGGGAAATCAGGGAAATCATGGTGAAGTAGGTACTCGGGATACACAGGTACAACCAAGCCACGATGTACACCTGCTATACTCTATCCGATATACCCAACCGTGGATCAGATGAGGAGTCGATACTCCAGTGACACGGGGGTACATTCGTAGTTGGCGTCGTATATAGGCTAAGGTGAGGATGGCTCTAGAGACTTGCCTACTCTTATCGCCTACTACCTACCCATGGCCTGTCTTTCTCGATCGGGTAGTAGTAGTATCTACTCTACTTCCTTCATTAGCTTGGTGTCGTTGACTGTTACTAAATAAGTTCGTGTTTTATATGCGGTACCATGGTTATCCTCTCTGTGCTTGCTACCTTCCTACCTACCTACCTACTTGATACCCTACTGTAGTATACCCAAGTGTCTAATCTGTAAGATATGGCGAAATATCCATCAATACATACATACATGTATGCAAGTCTTGTAATATACAGTACCAAACAAATAAAATACAACAATACTGCCTGCGCGCTGATTAATACCGCACATCCATTGATTGATGGATTTATGTAGTCCTCGCGGCTACCTACCCTTTATTACTTAGTAGGCTGTATGTAGGTAGGTAGGTAAGTTCACCGAGAACAAAGAAAATCCATTTGAGTCTCAAGAAGGGGGAGATTATCAAAAACCAAAATTAAAATAAATAAATAAAACAAGATAAAAGAAAAGAGAGGATGCCGTCGTTCCGCAGTCAACCGACAATCTACCTAGCATCATCGTCCTCCCACCTGTTCCCAGTTTCCTTGTAAGAGTAAGTTGGCACTACTCCGAGTTATTTTCCAGGTATGCCGACTCAATCAAACAATAATACAATCTAGTATAATAAAATCACAGACAATCCATTCATAGACAATCAATCCCATGCTTTACGACGGAAGTGCCTACCAACAACAAGCAGCAAACAACCAACAGACAAACAGCGAGCACGGCCCCCAGGCTCAGCCCAGGCCCAGGCCAGCCAACCGCACGACTTACAAGCGGGGAAGAAGGAATACCTAGGTTGTGTACTAGGGAGGGAGGGAAGTAGGACGGTAAATGAATTGATTCATTAATAAACTAGGGTAAATAATTAAAGACATTGAAGAATGGAAATCGGGTGAGTTCTTATCTCCGTGCTTTGCTCCGTGTCTATTTCTATCTATCTATCTACCTATCTATCTAGCAGTCTTGATGAGGACTTCATGTCTTTCACACTCACACCCACTTAATCCATCAACCAAAGTCTCCTAGATTATGTACCACACCTAAAAGCACTACTCCTAGCTTCCCAAGACCCTATACACCATGTAATACATATCAATAGTAAGGATAAACAGCATCGGCTACTCCGAGGAGGAATAAGTCTGGGTCGGTGGGTCACCACCACCTTCCTAGCGGAGGCAGAATGGAACGATCATAAGTTGGTACTAGCTAGTGGGATGAAACAAAGGATCTTTGGACAGGGAGTCAGGAAGCATGTGCGCTAGTTACAAGGGCTGGTTTATTCTTTGCGATAAGCTTGGTTTGGTTTTGTCGAACTTGTGAACTGGTTTACAGATGGATTATTGAATGGAATATTGTATATAAGATGGAAGAAAAAAAGAGGTAATGAGGGAGCCAACCTAGATACGTGAAGTCCACGACTTGACAAACTGACCATTCCTCAATCCTTTCTGGACTGAAACCTGACAGAAACTAACTACAAAGTAAGATACACTGCCGAGGAACTCTTCACACCAAACTAGTCTATCCTTCCTTAACAGTCAGTAGTCACTGATTACGCTTTCTCATCCTCCTCCTCTCCTAGTAACAAAGTACTCATGACTAACAGTAACAACACAAGATCTCCTGCCAAACCTGGAGATCGCCGTCCCCTCTATCCGAAGAGGGGCTAACCAAGCTAAAACAACAAGCTGAAGGCCTTCACCTGAACGACTGACCGGCGAGGTCGAGGTGCAGGTGGAAACCTTTGGGTTGGGTGGGGGGGGGGGGAGGAAGAGGGAGGTGGGGAAAAGGAAGGTTAGGGCTTGGCGTGTCACGGTCTGGATATTGCTTACTTTGGATTGGCATGTTGTGTCGTGATCCTTTCACTCCATGGAGACTAAATACGACAACATTATTAATTTATTGGTTATGTTGACTATATTACAAGGAAAAAGAAAAGGAATGAAATGGAAAAAAAAGAAAGAACACGGTTGCCTCAACCG